TTGCAGCTTCTAGAGGCTTTCTGTCCTGTTCCCTATCTCTCAGGCCATTCCTCCTAGCCACATCTCCCTCTGATTTTCTTCTGCCTTCCACTTTTAAGGACCCTCCTGATTAGATTGGGCTCATGCAGGTAATCTAGGATAATTTCCCTATTGCAGGATCCTTATTCACATCTACAGAGTCCCTTTGGCCATTAAGGTGACTAGTTCACAGGCTCTGAGGATTAGAGCGTGCATATCTTAGGGTGACAGTGATGTTGCCTTCTACACCCAGCAGCTGAAGAACTGAAATGGCAACGCAAGAATTCTCAAAGAATTACAGAAAGCAGCCCCTCTCCCTAGGGCTAGAGGAAGAAGGGAAAGAGGCTGGAAATAGTGAAACTTAGAAGTTCGGACAATGGGCAGAATGGGGCAGGAACCCGGACCTCTGAGAAAGGGGTGCATCTCAGCTGGTGGTGGGGCTTAGAAATGGACTTGAGAACAGGTTCTACGAGAGCTGGGAAGCTGCCAGTGGGACACAGCCCCACCCAGAGGAGGTGGGGGGGAGGCGGCCACTGTCCCTATGTAGAAACTGATCATGTAGTTCCATTTCCTGTGTTGCTCTATACAATTGTCTTCCATTTATGGCCATTGATGGCAGACTTCCACGTACCATGGGGATATGAAGCTTCCCATCCTAATACATTCCAGTTTTTAAAAGGAAGCATATAGAAGTGCTTTTGATGAAAGGATAGGTAGTGAATAATGGAGAAAGGACAGTTCTATGTACTTGCTGTCCCATCAAAAAGACACCCCCAGACAGTGGCTTGAAACACCAGCAGTTGTGTGGTTTGCTCTTGAATTTGGGGTTGACGGGCTCGGCTAGGCAGCTCAGCTTGGGGTAGGGAACATCTCCTAAGGTTCCAGCCAGATGGCAGCCAAGGCAGCAGTCACCCAAAACTGTTTTTGTTCACATGCTCAGGGTCTGGGCTGGGAGACCCAAGCAACTAGATCCCAGAGGAGCTGGGTCTGTTGGGCATCCATCTCTCCCTTCGGTGTCCCCACATGGTCTCCCCACCTGGCTGCTCGGGGTGGCAACTTCTCACTCAGTGGTGATGTGCTCCCAGCCCACGTGTCCTGGAGAACCGGCAGAGGGCATGGGAGCTACTGGAGCCCAGCCTCAGAAGGCAAAGGTTGAAGGGGAGGGGCCCCTGCCTCCATGTCTTGCTGGGAAGAGGGAGAAAGAACTGGTGGGTATTTGACAACCACCAACCACCAACCAGGACAGAGAACATCATGGGAGGCTGAAAATCAGGAAATGGAAAAGGCCCCCATTGGTTTTGCAAGCCTTTCTCACTTTGGGTTTACCTGACCTCTCCTTGACTCATTCCCAACCCTCTGCATTCTAGGAAAGCCAAGCCCTTGTCCCTGCCTTTCCATCTTGCTAGGCAGGCCATCCCTCTCTCTGGCAACTTCCTCAAGGTCCAGTTCCACGGTGCCATCAGCCAGGACACAGACCTCCTGTCCTGTCCTGACCATACAGAGGGCAAGTGTCTTCTGAGCTCTTTCTCCAGCAGTGAGCAGGACCTCACTCAGGACAGGACCCATGGGACGCAGACAGCCCCCAGTCCCCAAGATCACCTTTCCTCGGAAGCATTGGCAACACTCCCTGTGTAAGTACACGGCTCCTCTCCGCTCATCTGTCACCTCTGCTTGCCCCTGGGGATGCCTGCAGCCTGGTATGGACCTTTGGCCAAACAAAATGAAATTCATGAACTGCAGCCTGGTACGGACCCTTGGCCAAATGAAATGAAATTCATGAACTAGTGATGAATAAGGTCCTGCGCTGGTGTCTGGGACAGCTCAGAGGCAACCTGTGACAGCTGGTCTGCACCGTTTAGGCAAGGTGTACCAGCTGATGGTCTGTACCTGGTTTCTGACACTGAGCCTGGTGTGGCCGTATGAACAGCATCCCTCTGTATGAAGCAGTGGCTTCCTGAGACCGAGGTCCCATGTGCATTGGTAGTCCCTTGCTTTCTCGTCCGCTGCCACTCCTTTTAGGAGGGTCCCCCCAACCCCACACTTCTCGTGAGGACTACAGCAGTTTGGGGGGAAACACTGGCTTCTGAAGGCAGGCCTGGGAGTGACAGTCCAAGGACTGCACAGGGGGTAGCAGAACTGCTAGCCCCTTCTTGAATGTCCTCCCCCCTTCCGCACACATAGACCGAGTTCCCCCTGGACTGGGCACAGCTGCCCCAGCTCCAGGCTGCCCCCTCTGAGGGATCAGCAGCTGGGGGTGCATTGCGCCCTGCCCCACAGGACAGAGGAAGGGCCTTGATGCTGCTCTGGGCTGACCAGCCCCTGCACATCCTTGCCAGCCAGCAGAAGGAGGGAAGGTGTCATGGGCTCAGGGAAAAGCCAGGGCAGGACTCCCCTGTCCCCAGCCACCAGAAGCTTTCATCCAAGATGTCCCCAGACACCGCCAGAACTTCCCAAACACAGAGGCCAGCGGGTCTTATCCCCACAGTTTTGAGATCCTGCCACACTCTCCCCCTAGCCTGCCTTGCGGAATGAACGTTTCTGTTTAAAATCGCAATAGGATGTGAAGAGGGGCGGGATGTAGCCCCTGGCCTCAGGTGTGTCGCGAACAATGTGCGTAGTTGCTTGAGTACCGTTCTACAATCAAACCGAACCCTTCCCTCTATGGGCACGGAGCACCACACCTGGAAGGGGTCACGACACGGGGAGCTCCCCAGCACCTGGGTCCCAGCTCTACCTCCTGCCTGCTTTTCCTCCTTCCCCGGATGGCAGAACAGTGGTCTTGCACAGCAACTGTTCTTGCAGACGCCAAACAGGACGCAGAAGGGGAACAACTGGGCCACAGTCACAGAGAGACCAAGGCCTTGGCTGCCCGGCCCCCACCCCTGATTCCTGCCCATAGCAAGAGTAATAAAAGCCAGAGCTCCCTTCTGCACAACCCTGGACAAGGCCAACCAGGAAAGTCCTGATCTGGACCCAGTACCTGATTTTACCCTCACTCTGACATTGACTGAACTCCGACCTTGACCATCATTCCTTCTAAACTCTTCGCCCTCTCTCCTATCCTAACCCCTAACCCTAACCTGACACTGACCCTGCTTCTGACCTTAACCTTAATCGCTAACATTGAACTTGACCCAAATCCTGAACTTATCCCTTCTCCAGTGTCCAGCCATCCGTCTGGGAGAGCAGACAGCTGAGGCCAGGTGGCTCTCACTCAGGATCCCCACTAAGGGAGCGTTTACTCAACAGCATTGCGGAGACTTCTCCAGCAATCCTCTGCCCGCCCACCGGCCGCCCCCACTCCCTCCAGCCTTCTCCAAGGCTGCAGTGGGCAAGGGATTTGTCTGGGCCGTGCCCTGGCTTCCAGCACCCTCGGGAGTGATCTGAATAAGAGGCCTGGTCAGGAGTTGGGGCCCTCTAGTTGTCCCCCAGCTCCCACTCTGGAGTAGCCATGGACTCGGCTTTGCTGGTTTTCTCTTCTCTCTGCCATGGGCGCCTTTCTGGGAGGAGAGCCAGCCCCCCTCACCTGTTCCATGGTCCAGACAGTACCCCAGGCATGGTTACAGGGTTTCTGGCAAAACAAGTGTCCAAGACTTCGTTCACACTGCCATGCTCAGGGGAACCAGCCGGAGAAAGCTTCACCCCCGCCCCAAGGCCCTATGTCATCTGACAGCCGGATCTGTGGGTGACCCCCTCCCACCACCAGCAGTCCCCCACCCCTGAGCCTCCAGGAAGGGACTCAGCCTTGGGCTCATGGCTGACTGGGCTTTCTCAGAGCCTCCCTCAGCCCCTCCCTCACAGGCCTTGAGGTCAGTGCTCTGGTTACAGAAAGCACAGCCAAGAATGGTGACCTGATCACTCACAACCTGGGGCACAGTGGCAAGGTGGCCATGGTAGCCACCTTGGGGCCCAGCTTGCCTTCTGGGGCCACGTCCCTGCATAAATCTACCCTCTCCCCACACTTTGCCCCTAGACCCCTTCAGAACACAGTCACCCTGCCTACCGTTGCATATCTCCTATTAGCACAGGGAGAGCCTGTCTAGGTCACCCAGTCCAAGCCCCTCGCTGTGGGGACAAGGAACGAGGCTGGGCAGGGATGAAGCTGCCCCAAGCCCTTGCTCCTGTGTTTCTTAGTCCCACAGGAGAACCAGCAGGGGAGCAAAGCTCCCAAAGGCACCTGAACTCCCCCTGGGCTCCCCCCACCCTCACAGGGCCCCACACCCCTGCTGTCCTTCTGCCCGCAGGCCCATGGGCCATAGGTGTGCAGTTTGCTGGCACATGGGGCCCGCAGGAGGCTAAGCGAATAAGGTGAGTGCCCCCACCCTGCCCGCGGCTTGCTCCGGCGTTTCCACGTACCCCACAGAGGCATGGCCCCGGCGGACACCCCCGAGCCCCTGCTTGATTGCATACCACCAAGGGGAAGGGCCTGGCCAGAGGCCACCCAGCAAGCCAGGGGGCCCGGGAGTCTGTTCGGCCTTGCCTCACCGAGAGGCCAGCTCCGCCCTGGGACAGAGTCAGGAAAGAGGCAGGTCCCCAGGAGGCCGCTCGTGGACAAGAATTCTAATACAAAGAGCAGTCACTAGCCACCTGGAGCCTCAGACCGAGAGTGGAGAAACAGAGAACAACACCGACAATGATGGGAGAATATCAGTCCAGCAGACTAATGGCAAACTTCCAGAAGGACTCCAGAATCCAGCAAGATGGTCGGAAGGTCCGTCACAGACCATCTGGGCCACTGGGACATAGACAACTACACTGAGGCTGGGGAGGCTCGGGTGGCAAAAAACCTGTGAGCCGAGGCAGGTCAAGGAGGTCATCTGAGACTGACCTAGTGGCAGGGCAAGGGGGAGGGGAAGCTCCAGTGTCATTTGGGCGGTAGCAGCCGTATCTCCTCGGGAGACACTAACTGCTCATCTCCTCTGAGAGCCACCTCCAGTCTGCCGTCTGCTCTGTGGGTGATGAGGCCCTGGCCGGGCCACGTTTGCTCCCCAGGGATGTCCGCGGTGGCCCTTCTCCGCTCTGCAGTGGGCCCAGGCCGGCCCAGCTACCAGAGCTCCTTGGAGTCCCAGCGGCCAGGAAAGCGGTGCAGCCTCATGTCTTCCTTCTGGATATGCTCGTAACAGGACTGGTGGGAAAGAGGCCAGGCTGAGGGGGAGCTGGCCTGCCCACCCCTGGCCCCGTGCAAAGACGGCCCCATACTGGGATGCACCCATCTCCCCCGCCTGGACCACCCTGACTCCAATTCAGCCTCTGCCGTGGTCTGCAAGGAAGGGGGCCTCCCCCTCCTGTTATGCTCAGGGAGGCAGCCTGGAACATGCCCGAGGTCCCAGGGACCCAAGGGCTGGGATGAAGTAGGGAGCCCTTCCCCAGCCCCTTTAACAAGGGCAGGACCAGGGACCCTGTGGGGCCCTCCCCACAGAAGCACATATGAGCAGTGAACCTGGGGTCATCCCCACAACAGTGTCCAGGGCAGGGAAGGAATCTGCCCCACGGGCCAGAGTATTTTTGCCTCTGTCCACAAGCTCGGTCCCTCACCTCCAGGGCTGTGAGCAAGAAGTCATACAAGCCTCCTGTGTGGATGGGGTCCATCATGTCACGAATCAGGTGGATCTCGGCTCCCAGGTGCTGGATTCTGGAGAACACCCAGCCCCACAGTGAGAGGGAGAAAGGGGCCCATCAGTGACAGGTTCCAAGCAGCTGGGTACGGAGCCCTGGCCCGGATGGCTGGCCACCTGGGCTGCGGTCCCCGCTCTGCTCCTGGCCCCCACGGGACCCTAGGTGGGGTTTCTCTGCAGGATGGGACGGGGTCCTCCCGCAGCCCACCCCTCAGCACCCCTCCCCCTGGCTGGGGCTCACCGGGCACGTGACACCACATAGATAAGCAGCGGCAACAGGTCGTCCATGGGCAGCTTGTACTCCTGGCCCAGCACACGCGACACGGTGGCCTCAATCTCCCCATATGTCTTCTCCAGCACCTCCAGCTTCTCCCGGGGATCCACCGTAGTGCTGTGGCAGGGGCCCTCATGTTCAGCCCCAACCAGGGGCCCCCACACTCCTGTCCCCCCTCCTCCCACCCTGCCCAGGGCGTGAACTCACATGATCTTCTGCAGACACTCAGTGGCTGACAGGAAGCACTTGTCCCTGACCAGGGAAAGTCTCTACAGTGGTGGGGGGCAGGGGGAACAGATGATGAGGTCAGGGTCCCCCCAGCCCTGTCACCCCTTCCCTCCCAGAGTCAGAGCTCTCACCACTCACAGTTCCCATCACTGGCTCCAGGACAGCCCCCCTCCCCGAGGCTTGAGTGGCCTAGGGCAAGTCACAGCTCCACCGTGAGCCTCAGTTTACTCAACTGTAAAGTGGGATAATGGTCTCCAGGGGGTTGGGAAGGAAGATAATGATCCCAATGGCCACTGGGAGCCACTGGGGGTGGGTCCCTAAGTCAGCAGCTCTCAACCCAAGGACTTGTTGAAACACAGAGTTCAGGTCCGCTGAGTTTGACTCAGTACATCTGGGTCAGGGGTGGGGGTGGTCCAAGAATCTGCTGTTCTAACAGCTTCCCAGCTGCTGCTGGCCCAGCACGCATACCTGGAGGGCCACAGCCTGGTGTGTAGTGGCCCACTGCCCCCTCCCAACACTCTCATGAGGGAGCACCAACCCCGCAGCAGGGAGTACTCTCACCCGTGGGGGAACTGAGGCTCAGAGACAAGTACTCTGCCCACAACCATACAGCCAGGAAGAGGGGCGGAGCCTGGGTCTGCACCCACCCGTGGGGGTGCCAGTGGCCGCCCCCCTCACCCACACAGGAGATCAGAACAACCCAGAAAGGTGGGTGTCCTCCACACCTGTTGGCCAGCACTGCCTGGGCCCCTCTGCAGCAGGAAGGCGGAGGGTGAGCAGACTCTGTGGGCGGGCCCTACTCAACACTCAGGCCTCCCCTACCTGGGGCAGGTAATGGACCCACCTTCTCACCTGATTGGTTGTCAGCCTGAGGTCCTTGAGGGGCCACAGGTGCCTGAAATGAAACAAGAGTGACAAAGAGCCTTTACGAGGAGGAGGGGGCAGGGTCTGAGGTCAGGGGGCACATTCCCTGTACACCGTGTCCCCCAGCAGGGCTGAGCACAGGACAGGGGTCCACGATGGCCTCTCCAAGCGCTTGCATGGCGGCCAGGGCAAGGCGAGGATGGGAGAGATTCCTGGAGAAGACACCACCCCAAAACTTAAGAGAGGGATGAGGGGCGGCACTGCGGGCCAAGGGACCCTGTGAGCAAAGTCCCAGGGCTTGGGCCGGAGAATGACAGTGGAAGAGACTGTTCTGGAGGCTTTGTGAGCCGAGACAGGCTGGTGAATGGGGAGGGACATGGGTACCACACGACACAGCACAGGGCAGGGACTTGGGGAGACAATGGAGCGGAGAGGCAAGCGTGGAGGAAGCAGCAGAGAGGAGGCCGGAGGAGGTGGGGAGGAAGGGACACTAGAGAAGCTGCTGGCACCCAGGCCTCTGGGCTGGTGGCTGTCCAGTTGCAGGAGACATTCATGATGGAAGGGGAAACGGGGTTTCAGGTGGGTGGGAAAGATCACAGCTGTGTGACAAGGGATACTGGGTGTGGGGGGAGAGAGAGCACCCATGCCCTATCGGGCAGGTGGTCACTCGTAGCATCAGGAGATCAGAAGGGGCACTGAAGAGAAAGGATGTTTTAGCAACTGAGGGTAAAAGGGCCTTGCTCCCAGAACAGTCCTCAGTTTCCCCTTGAGGAGCTCCCCTCCCCCACTCTCAGTCCAGTTGCTGGGAACAGGAAACCTCACTCTAGCCCCCGTAGTAGATAGGGAAGTAGATTGGCCTACATGGGCTACAGACAGCATTTAGGGGCAGTCTCACATACCGAGACAAGCCAGTGAGGGACTTCAGGGGCCCTGCTAGAGCTGTGAGGAAGGGGACACAGGCTCCTTGGGGCACAGTGGGGGACAGAGCTGGTGGAGTATAAACCTTGAATGGCTGGTACCATGTCTGGCACCATAAATGGGAGCCAGAGATACATCAAGAGAAAAAGAAAAGTTGCTTCCCTTCACTAGGTAGTCCAGCAGCTAGATCCAGCCACACCTGAAGCTAGCCACACTAGCATAAAGCTAGAAGTTCATGGGTGTGTGAGCCAATGAACACCACCCCTTTGCTGCTAAAGACCGTTGAACTCTGTGTGTACCCTCTGTCCACATGGGCCCCGGCAAACATGGCAAGGAGGGAAGGCTTACTTCTGCACATCCAGAAACTCAAGCAGCTTTGTGTCAGGGAAGAGGCTCAGGTTGGCAATACCCTGGCTGTAGAGACTGTCCTCCGACTCGTGGAGAAGCAGGTAGAGAGTGAAGAGCTCCGAGTAGAAGCTGGGCAGCATAAGGGGCAGCACGAGGCCATATACTTGCAGGTCCCTGAGTGACAGCAGCAGAACAGGTTGGGGCCGGCAGGGTGGGCCCTGGGGGGGAGGGATCCCTACTTGGCCTGCCCCTCAAAAAGCCCACAGAGCTCCTTGTCCAACAGCAAACAGCATCCCTGCCTCCTCCATTCCCTAGAAAATGCTTCCGAAGTCCGTTCTCAGTGATTCACTCCCTCGGTTGAAATCTGTGGCCCTGGATCCTCTCGTTGGATGCTGAGAACCACTATGGTGGCTGGGGCAGGATTTGATCCCCATGTGATCGAAAGCAAAACCCAGGCCCCGGCTTGTAGCGAAGCACTCCGGCAGCCATGCCACGCTGGTCCAGGGCTGCCTCCTCATTTTCTGGGCTTCCTAGCACTCCGTGGGGGAAGTTCTACCTAACATCTAACCCCATCTCCCATGTTTCCGGCAATGCAGCCATACGCCTCCCTGATCGGGATCTCTGGGCCTAAAGTCGGAAGGCAAACTATAAGGTCCGGTCTTGGGGGACAGAAGGAGACAGATTTAACGATGCACTTCACTCCCGCTCTGTGTGGCCTCGGGCTCGGCCCCTGCTAGGCCTCAGCTTCCCCATCTGCATGTAGTAGGGAGAGGGCACCTGGGGCGGTGGCTCACCCTCTGGGCACCATAGAGAGGAGGCTGGGACAGGAACTTTCCAACAAAGATGCACCTGATACTTCGCGGTGGGGGCCCTGCCCACGTGACCCAATGACGAGGTCATGGGGCATTCCGATCCTCAGATGCTCAACAAACAACGGTCAGTAGCATGAGCCCCCAACGCTTCTCCGGAAGCACCCCCAATGCCCCAAGGGAGGCTCCAGGAGTGAACGTGGGCAGCCTCCCTGGTCCTGAGCCTGGCTACCCCCAGGGCAGGGACCCTACAGACCCCATGGGAGCGGTCACCTTGCCTCCGGATCCTCGTCCTCCTCTGGAGCCTGGCCCTTGCGCCGTAAAGCCACCTGCAGCAGACCCCTGCAAATGGATGACATGGACTGCAGAGCTGCCACTTCCCACAGAGCCCTAGTCACCAAAGTCCAGGGCGGCAAACTCCGCCCCCCAGAGCCACGGAGCATGGGGAGCCCAGCCTCCCAGACCTCTGTAGTTAGGAAGCTGGGAACACAGGACCTCAGCCCCAGAATGCTGGAATTGCAGCATCTGGGGCCCCCATTTGTAATAACAGACGGGGTCTTGGCTCAGCCCAGACTGGTGTGAGTCCAGAGGGAAGCTCAGCCCACGGAGGCTGAGAGCTCCCCTGGGGTCAGGGGTCAGCCCAGAGCCTGGTCTAGGCTTGGACTCTGGCTACAGGCAGTCCTTGCTATAATCTCCCACCTTCTAATCCCTTTGCTCGCCGGCAGAACACTGACCAACGCACTCTCTGGTTCTTTCTCGATCCAGACGCACCATTCCTGCCCAGGGAGCTAGGCTGAGCACCCGACCCCGGGGAAGTGCGGAGCTGTACCTGCCTGTGCTCACAGACCAGGCGGCGGTCGTCCCCAGGGACCACGCAGCTCACCTATAGGCGGCCCAGAGCTCCCGAGCGTGCTGCTTCACCTCCTCCTGGGCCAGCGTCTGCAGGTGCTTGTTGGCCCCGATGCCTGCATATGTGGCCTGGAAGGTCAGCATCAGCGTCCGCAGCAGCTTGCCCAAGGGGTGCAGCGAGCTGCTCAGAGCCTGGCAGGTGCAAAGGCAATAGAGAGGTGTTCGCGCCAGGAGCTGGAGCAAAGCATGCCCCAGCAGGGCTCCCAAGGCTGCTCCCATTTCCTAGATGGGAGCACTGAGACCCTCAGAGGAGAAGGGGTTCGCGGGCCTGGGCCATCCAGACAGCACGAGGGGCAGTGAGATGACCTCCCTCCCCTCAGACCCCCTCCCCCAGGGCCCTCACCTTCCCAAGGCACTCCCGCAGGGCCCTGGGCTCCCGGTGCAGCAAGAGCTCGTCCAGGACGTCCTCCATTCTGCCTGCACAGGCCTCGGGCTGGGTCCTGGGGCACCAGGCACATACATCTCTCACCTACCCGTGGGCCCCGGCCTGTCCCCTCCAGGAGGCCTTCCTTCCAGCCCACCTGGAGCCCCATGGACGCCCGCCCTGGTCCTCTGGATGTCCCCACGGGTGCCCCCATGTGCACGCATATGTACACACACGTGTATGCGCAGGTGCCCCCATGCACACACACACACACATACAAGCAGGTACCCCCATGCACACACATGTGCACGCGCAAATGCACCTACCTCTCACAGCACAGATACTCCTGGGATTTGCGCAGCTCCCTCGAGTTCTGCACGTGGAAGCCCAGCAGGGCCTCCTGCTCGTCCCCAGGGCAGCCGGCACTAACAAAGTCCCGGAAGGGGCCATAGACTCCCTGCCAGCGGCTCTCCACGGGGAAGGCACCCACACCTAGCTGCCTGTGACAGAGGCAGTGGGGGGGTGGAGTAAGTAGGGATGGGGCTGTAGTGGGCAGGACCCCGTCCAGGCCCTTGGAGAGGTGGGGACATCCCACCTGGCCCCGAGCCGGGGCCCAGGAATGGTGGGTAGACTGGGGGGCGCTGACCTCCAAGGCTCCAGGAGAAGAAAGGAGAGGCAGAGAAAGGGAGAGAGAATCTACTCCACAGTGGAGAAGAAAGGGACATACAGAGCCCTGGAAAGGAGACAGAGAGATCTGGAGAGCTGGAGGCCAAGTCCAGACAGCAGGTTCTTGGCCTAAGAGAGAACACGGCCCGAAGTCCAGGATCCTCCTGCCTGGAGAGCCCACGCTCCCTGTCACCACACCTGGTTTCTTCCTGAGCTTGATCCTGTCTTGACCAGCAGGCCTGGGGGTCTGGCCATGTGTGTGCCTAATAGAGCCCCACCTTCCCATGTCAGGTTCACAGATTTTCCTACATCTGCACCCCACCTAGGCTTGGCCATGCTTCTGGGGTTTGCCGTCTACTCCCACCTCCTGGGAGAAGCATGTAAGGACAGTGGGTCTAGTAATCAACTCTACTCCCTCCCCACACCTGCAGTGCTGCCTGGGACCATCAGAAATACCACCTGCACCTCAACAGACATGGTCCAAGTCACCAACTGAACTAGTTTTCCAAGGAAGAACTCTGTCCCCATGGGGAAGAAGTCAATCCCCTTCTCAAAGACCCTATGATAGCGACAATAAGACCACTTAGCAAGTTTCCTTCTTTACCTTGGCTGCCAGGGAACTCAGAGCCAGGCTCACACTCAGTCATCACTATCACAGGACTTACTTGTCCCTTCCCTTCCTTTAAGTTCAACTCATACTTTTATTTCCATTTTATTCTTGCTTATTTGTGCTGTGTTTACAAACGGCCGTGTACCCTTCCCAGAAAAAAAAAAGGAGGGTCTAAGCAGTCTCTGCATAATATTTTTCTCTGGTTTGGTGGTGTGTGAAGTTATGCCGTAGCCCTTGATCCCAGGAGTCTCTGACTCGAGGGCTGTGTGACCTGAGTCCACTGAACTCTCCAAAGAGCTAAAAGGAAGTACAGAAAAGCTCTTCTGATGAGGCCTGAGTCCCGGGGGTGGAGACATAGACACAGACACAGACACATGCACATGCACGGTGCGCACACACACACATGTGCAAGCGTGCACACACACACACACACACACACACACTCCAGAATGCACAGGCCAGGGGCCCGGCCAGGCTCTCACCTCTTTCGGGTGCTGCTTGGATCTGGCGGGAAGGCAGCCGTGTCCAGCACACCCTGGGTATGCAGTCCTTTCCCTGCCCCACTGCCAAAAGAGCCCTCCAGGGTGAAGCCATTGGGGAAGGTGACTTTGCCCTGCAAACCAGGGAAAGGAGGCAGGGACACCTGTCTGTCTGTCTGTCCAGCTGCCCTTCCCTCCAATCATGACAGGCCTCGTGCCTGTCCATCCCGGGTCATAGAGGCTAGGGACGGACAGGTAGCCTTCCCACCATCCATTCCATTGGCCCCACCCTGGGGGGTTCATAATCGTCCACACCTGCAGGAGCCCCCGATCAGGAGTTGTGCCAATGGCCCAGGAGCTCACCTCAAAGGTGGGAGACTGGGAGGGAGAAGGGGAGGGTCTCTCAGGTCAGGAGAACCACTACTGTGGGACTTGGGGAGGGGTGGGACACGGGGTAAGTCCAGAAGTAGGAAGAGGCCTGGGGAAGGCATGAGCTATACTGGCCCTGGGAAGGGTAGGTCCTGCTGCCTGGGCTTTCCCATTCCAAGCACTCCTGGCCTCCCCACTTTGATGCCACAGTGCCCCCCAATCATTAGGAGACTGAAACAGCCCCCACATTTCCAAAGGCCCAAGGGTCAGCTCGGTCAGGACCATGCTGAAGGACAGTTACTCCAGGGGCCCCTGCCCAAGGCACCGATGCCAGTGGAAGGGATGGATTCCGACCCTCTCGGGAGACAGAGCCCAGCTACCAGCACCTTGTACCCCTGGCCCCTCTTGCCTCCCCTCAGGATCGAATCACAACTCCACAGCAAGAGGGCGTCACGGTGCCCACCGGACGCCATGGAGACGAGAGAGGCCCTCCCCTACCTTCCCCACCCACTGCCTACACCCTCAGCCCTGGGTCCGAGTGGGGAGATTATAGGGTCCACCCAAGACCTTGGTGAGGGTGGAATGGGTCTCAGTGGTCCTCACCTTCCCCACAAGGGTCAGGTCCCTGGTGAAGGTGCCTTCATACAAGGAGTCATCTTCAGAGAGGAGGATCCCAGGGCCCTAGGGACGGAAGCAGGAGTAGGAGCAAGGGAAGGGCCAGGAGACTGGGAGTGGGGAGGGAACGGCAGAAGACAGGAAGTATGCATCAACCCCGGGGGCAGAACAGTCCTGAGCCCTGTCACACCTCCCAGCACTGTACTGAGGTGGGATGCCAGCCCTTGGCCCGCTGAGCACTAAGCACCAGACCCACAGACCTCATTCCTGCGTTCCTCTGAACGACTGCCTGGGACTTGGCTCCTGCTCTCTCCTGGGGGCCCTTCCTTCCCCACCGATGGTTCAGGAAGTGCTGGGCTTTTCCTCAGCCAACCCTACTCCCCTGTCCCTGACCCTCAGCGACAGTGGAGCTGAACAGGCTCCCTTGTTGCACTGGCTGCCAGGAAGCTCAGGGCCCAGTGGGGTATAATTTGTGTCCTACTTGAATCTTTAATTTGTCTATTCTTATAGTTTCTTCCTCCTCCAATCCTTTCCAGAACGAAGTGGAGCCCAAGCCAAAGCACAAGCCATAACAACAATAAAAATCCCCAGGCCAGAGCCTTCCTATGTGCCAAAGCACATGGCCAGGTGTGGATGAGGCAGGAGGCGGCTGCTGGTGTGCCAGGGCTCAGGAGATCTAGGAGTGAGGCTCAGCCCTGCCACTCAATAGAATGTGACACCAGGTAGGTTCTCTGACCTCTCTGAGCCTCACATTGTCATTCATTTGCTGGGGACATGAAACAATCCACAGGGTTACTGGGAGGGTCCTGTGATGTTGTACCGGGAGCTGAGCCCAGAGCTAGGCCTCCAGGCAGGGGTGTCTACATGTCCGTTGCAGAGGCGGCTGGCATCACTGTCCCCGTGCACTTCATCCCTGCTAATTTCCCTGAGTGTTTATAGTAAGTAGCGAACCTGAGTTGCTGATGGGGAAACTGAGGCTGGGAGGGCCAAGGCCAGCATCAGGGGCTGGCAGAACTACATTCCTGCTGAGGCTCTGGCTTCCTCCAGCACCTAGGAACCCAGCTTCCTGCCCCACCCACCCCTGCCCAGCCTCTGCTCAACATCGGGGCCCTGAGAGCAGGGGGGCTCCAGAATGCAGCACCAGTGCAGGGAGAGGGTAGCTCAGGGCACACATGGGTCACCCCACTCACCACCATCTTGTCTGCCTGGAAGGTCCCCTGGTAGCAGACACCAGCCTGTGTGACCATGACCCCCGGGCCATGGCGCTGGTCAGCCTGCCACATGCCGATATAGCGCTCCCCCCTGGAGAGGAGCCAGAGTGGGGTCAGAATCATTCCCAGGCACTTCTGTGTGCTCTGTCGGCATGGTTGGGACTGGGATGGGGGTGGAGAGCAGGTAAGGAGCAATGATATCGCCTGAACCCACTCAACTCACGCACGGGGCAAGAGAGGTCAGGACCTCCAAGAGGAAAAGAGGGTGGAGGAGGAGGGAGCCTGCCTGGGGGAGGGTATCCTGGCAGGCTTCTTGGAAGCGGTGGCAGGAAGGGCAGATGGAAAGCAAAGTCATGGAGGTAGGAGCCTACAACTGAAACGATGTACGAGGGGGCGTTTGGTGGTCTAGAAGGCTGGCGGGGTGCACGGGCAGCACGGCAGGCATGAGGTCAGAGAAACAGGCAAGCCTTGAATGCCAGGCTGAGGGCCTTGGGCTCTGTCTCACAGCCCAGAGAGCGGGGAAGGGCTTTGGTCCTTACATGGACTAGACCAGGGCTCAGAAACTCCTCCTGGACAGTGCAAGGAGGGGCCAGACTGGGGACGCTCCTTGGTCAGCGAGCTCAGGGCCCCCTCATTCTGAGATTCAGCATCAACCAAGGTTGTGGACAGGAAGTGAGGGGTTTCAGGGGGGCTCTGGGGGGACAAATGGACCAGACCCTCTGATGACAGTGCTACACCCTGAGGCACCCCGGTCTGTGTGGGGGTCTAGCTCTAACCCTGCCCTCACCCCGCAGGGGTGGCAGCAGAGTGCTCACCTGTCACTGTCCTCCTCGATGCCATACCCGCTCCGCTGGCCCTTCTCCCAGTGGCCCGTGTACCTGCAGGGCTGTGGGGCCTGCGGGGCGCTCTCGAGGACCCCAAATCCATGCCGCAGGCCTGCCCAGAAGTAGCCTTTATACACCTCGTCGGTGCCATACCTGCGGAGGGTCACCAAAGCTGGCCTGGCCTCCCCGAGCTCAGCCCGGGGCACGCGGCCGCCCCTCGCACCTGCCCTGCCACCTGGCCGAGGGGCACTTACTCACAGATGCCGTAGCCGCACATGCTGCCTTCCCGCCAGTGGCACTTGTAACAGTCAAACTTGTCCTCAGAGGCCTGAGGCACCAGGTGGATGCCAAAGCTGCCAGTGTGAGTGCGGGGGGAGGGCCGTCAGCACCTGGCTGTCACCTTGACCCAGGACACACCACAGGACCCCTCCATGCTGCCCCGGAGTGTCCCTGCCTCTGAGGGGCCTTCTCAGACGACGGGGAGAATCTCCTAGGTGCTCAGGAATCTTTACTTCCCAAGGGCCATTCTCAGGACACCCCTGTCCCTACCCCTCACACATGCCGGGAGCACCTTCCAGCCCCAACCATGCCCTCCATGGCCTGCCCCCTCTCTGGGCTTTCCCTTCTGTGCACTAAGGGGAGCTGGACCAAATGGCCTTAAGTTCCGGCCTGAGGTCTGGGAATCGAGGATGGGGCCAGGCTGGGGACGGTGGCGAGGAGAAAGCCACCCATCTGCCCACCCCCCGCCTTACCCATGCTCCAAGCCTTGGCAAAAGCTCCCCACGTGATTCCGGCCATCTGGCCACCTCAGGGTGCCCCTGCAAGACAGTTGAGGTCCACGCATATCAGTCCTGCCAGGCCCACGCTTCAACAAACACAGGCCCCCGGCTGACCTCCAACGCGGGCTCCCTCAGAGGTCTACATTCCCCCCGGAGCGGACTCTCTGCCCCCACCCAGCCTTCTTCCCTGACCCACAGGGACTCTCAGCCCTTCTCGACTCCTGACACAATGGCCCCAGCAGCCACTAGCACACTCACCACACCCCACAGAGAGGTCTCTGGAAACATCCAGGTTCCCTTTTCCCCTTGACCAACAGGAAGGTCCAAGCTAAACTTCAAGCTTAAATCAAACGCTAGTCAGTGGTTTCTAGCATCCTCCTTTCCTCTTCTGATACGACCTTGTGTTTTCTGGGTTTTGTTTGTTTGCTTGTTTGTTTGTTGTGTTTTGTTCATTTGTCTCCTCGAGCCCCTTCTGGAAGTAGGCAAGGTCTCAGAGACTAACACGCTTGTGAGCATCACCTGGGCAAGTCCCTTCTGCTTTCTGGGCCTCGGATTTCCCAGCTGTGGCATGGGGGTCAGGGAGTGGGAGCGCATGTGCTCCCAAAGCCGTCCTGCTTGTGGGGTCACACAGACCTGTGGCTGAAGCTGGACTCACCCTACAACCTGCCCTAAGGCCTTGGGCAAGTCATGCCAGTCTCTGACCTCAGTTCCTGCACCTACAGAATGGGCAGTAACACTCCACCGGCGTGTTCTTGTAAAGACTGGTGAAGACAGGAGGTCTGCAAACCATTTCCATCACCAGCTAGTGTCATGGGGACATGAAAATTACCCCTCCGCCCTCCTGAGAACAGCAACTGCAGAACTACAGTCTGTCCCATGTGCCCCGGGCTCATCACCATCATCAACACTCCACGTGGCACAGACCTACTATGGGCCAGGTCCTGTCCAACGGCGCTTAAGACAGAATGGGAGACAAACAGAGCTGACTGATGGATGTAGGAAGGAAGAGCCTTCGGTTGGTGGCCGGAGGTGATTAGGTCCTGTCAGCCCCTCCAACTCCCAGGAGGAGCCCTGGTCGCTCACCTGCCATGGGGCCTGCCCCGACACCACTCGCCCTCATAGGTGGCCTGACAGAGCCGGCCCTCAGCACGGAAGGTGTATGCCACACAGCGGCAGGCGGGGGGCTCGGAGGGCTCCAGGCCCGCCCCCAGCACAGGGAAGTCCTTCTTCCCACGTAGGGCCTGGCACACAGCCTGAGTCACTTTCCACTGCCAGACCATCTGGTGGGGACAGGGGAGACACAGGAGAGGTCCCTGCTGTGCCGGTGGCCCCTCTAGGAAGCCTTGTGGGGTAGCTCCAGAGAGTACCGCCTCCACCACCCCCGACCTATTCAGGCACTTGGGGGAACTCCCACCGCCCCACGCTGCGCCAGAGGGCCCCGCATCCAGACCTGAGCTCCTCTTGTGCGGTTTCAGGGTCTGCCCAGAGGGGCCACACAGACCCACTGGGATCCACACAGGCCCCAATCCCGGCTTCATGGGGGAAAATGCCCTAGACTCTGTGGCATTCTGATGCCTGACCCCAGGCTGACCACCGCCGCCCTCTGACCATGACCCCAGAGGCCTGGCCACTCCCAGAGGGCCTCCAGGGTGCCATACCTGTGCCCTCCCCCGCCCCTCCTGGTGTCTCCCCTCACTCCTCTCCCCCCACCGCCCCGATTCACAGCCCACCCACACTCACCAGGTCCTGAGGGTTCTTGGAGCAAAAGGAGAGCTTGTCCTCAGGTGTGAGGAGGTGAAAGGTGCACCTAGACAGATGGAGGTGACGAGTAGGCCCCAGCTCTGTCCGGGAGGGTGTTCCGGGAGGCCCCAGCCCTGGGGTGCGGGCAGTTTCATGAGGGTGGAAGGAGAGAAGGCCCGGGGTGTCATTGGAGGGGGCTGCTCACCCGTCCTGCCCAGGATCCACCCACACCAGCTTCAGATCAAAGGTGTGGACACTGTGACCCTGGAAGAAGATGGGGCACCGGGGTCACCCAGGGCCCAGCCCAGACGCTCCCCTACTGATGTGGCCCAGACTGGGTCCAGGCACTGACCTGCGGCCACACCACTGAGTGTCCCCTGAGTGTCCAGCATGCCCATCTCCAGGGCAGCTGAGCCTGGTCCCCATCTCCAGGGCAGCTTCTCCATCTCCCTTCCTATCTGAGGGCTGGCTGGGACCTCGGGAGCAGCCTCCCCCACCCAACACATCCTGCTCCATCATGTCCACAGCTCGGATACCATCGACTCCTGCTAGAAACCTCTCAGGCTCCTACCATCTGGAGGATGGGGACCTCGCTGCTGAGCCAGACCCCTGAGACCACAAAAACCACTCCTGGCTCCCAGGTCCCCACTCCTTGTCCCCTCCACACCAAGGCAACATGGCCCTGCCACACTCACACCATCTCAAGCCTCCCCTAGTCCCCCTCAATCTGACCCTTGGCTCATGCTGCTTCCTCTACCTGGAAAGCCATCCCTGCTCTGAGAGCTGATGAACATCCCTTCCTCTAAAAGATTTCATGCAGCGACCTCCTGCCTGGCCTAGGCAAGCTGATCACTGCCTCACTGCCCCAGGAGGAAAGGGGGTCCAGGCCCAGGCCCAAAGGGCAGGAGGAGGGGGCCAGACACAGGCAGGGACAAGGGCGGGCCCGGCACAGGAAATGCAAAAGTCCAGAGGTAGGAAAGGGCACAGAGCATGTAAGTGACATGCCATCAGTGTATCTGGAGCACAGACAGCGAAGTCGGGAGTGGAGGGGAGTTCAAAGCGAATCAGAACCCCAGAACCAGGTTTCAGGAGACACGGGTCTGGGCAGGTAGCCTCCCTGCCAGGTCTTAGCCTCCCTGTGTGCAGGGGAGTCCCAGACTGACATTCAGAGGAGACAGAGAAGACAGTGCTCTGGCTAACACAAGGGCAGTCTGAGTTCAGGGGGAGCTAGGCACAGTCAAGGTTATGGGCCAGGGAGCAATCCCAAAACCCCGGCCTGTGATATCCAGAATCCTAGGCACTGCTCCCACGTGGCACTCTTCTCTAGAAGCCTCTTGTGTGCCCTGAGGTTTTATCCAGCCCTCCCAGCCACCAAGAGCCAACCAGGAAGAGAACTAAGAGTTGTCCGGCATCCGCAGAAGGACAAACTCACTCCCAAGCGTCCCATTTTGCAGGGGAAACCGAGGGGATGTTTAGCAGGGATGCCAGCCTGCAAGGGCTGAGGCTGGGACACACCTGGAGCGGCCTTGCCCCACAGCGTCCCCTCCTGCAGGAATGACTCTACCCTCCGCCCCCACCCCGGCCTGCCAGCCTCTCGGCTCCCCATCACCCCCCACCCGGGGAGTCTGAGTTCTCGCTCGCTGCCAGCTCTCTCCCTCCTGCTTCTCGGCCAGACCCCAGGGCCCTGCTGCGGCCCCAGGACCTCTGGTCAGCTCCCCCAAACCTGCAGCAAGACAAGGGCATCGTTGAAGAGCAACACACGCTCTGCCCGCAGCGGGGTGACCGTCACGGCTAAGTCCTGGCTGTCCTGCAGGAGTCGGCGCACAGGGGTGCAGAGCACATCCTGGGGAGCAGAGCAGGGGGGCACAGGGCTCAGGCACCCCCCATCCCAGTGGTTGTACCCACTCCTCCACCTGCCTCTGCCAGGCGCACCAGCCCCCGCCAGTCTGAGCATCTCCTGGAGACCCCCAGCTCAGTGGCAGACACCGGGGCTCCAAGGTCTGGAGGGGCAGCACAGCCTGTCTTGAAGCTTCGCTTTGACGCCCACCACCCCTCGACCCACTGCCCCCGCCAAGCCCCCAACAACACTCACTGGGGCTCTGCAGTCCCTGCCTCTCGCTGGCAAGTCATGTCCCCTCTCCTGTTCACCTAATTATCTACCCTGTGCCCCAGGCCTGTCACACCCTCCCAGGGCATGGGGGGCTTTCCCCCCCAGCGGGGGCACTACATGCCACAGCGGGCAGTGCCGTCACCATGGGATCATTTGGTGGCATTAATTCTGACTCCCCTTCCCCACAGCCAGCTCACCAGGTGCATGACCCCTGACCAGGGAGGTGCTCCGCAAGTGCCTGAGGACTGCTGGATGGACAGACGTCTCAGTAACCTGGTTCGGCCCCCGCTCCCACTCCCAGATGGGGAAATGGAGGCACAGCGAGTCCAGCAGGCCCCTTCCATGACCACGCATCAAGCCCTAAACTCACTCTCAGCCGGCTGCTCAGGGAGTGCCAGAGAGCCTGCGTGGCCAGGGCCTGGTCCAGCACCTGCTTCATGAAGGACTGCAGGTTCCCAAAGAGGGTGGCTGCGTGCACCACCAGCTCCCGAGCGGGGTGAGGCTGTGGGGACACAGAGCGGCTGGTGAGTCGGGGAGACGAGGGACTCGTCGGAGCCTCCCCCACCCTGTGATGCTTGCCCCAGCCTTGGCTTGGCCCAGCTGCTCGGAAGGTCTGGATCGAAGCCGAAGTGTGTCCCTTTCTGCCTGCCAGCCCTTCCTTCAGGGTGAGGCCAAAGCGAAGGGGCTCCAGAGCACCGCTGGGCCTGGGCCAGGGGTCCTCACATCTGGTAACACGGCTCTCCGTCTGCTCCTGGGTCTCTGCCAGCCCCCCTAGGGCACAGCCATGGACCTCAGGCCCCATCAACCCCCCCTCCCCCCACCAGGCCCAGGACACTGCATGATCCCCAACATGTGGCTGGGTCTTATTCAAACCGAGTAAGGTGAGTCCCCAGAGCCAGGGCCCTATTACCTCCTCCTTTGGCTCCCCTACAAGCAACAGGCCTGGTGAGTGGTACATGGCCCCCCCGACACCCCTGCTACTTACCTCCGTGACGCTGTCCCCGAGGCTCAGCAGGAGGAGCACATACTGCTGCACATGATGGGCCAGCGGCTGGCGGAGGGCCTGGGTCAGTGCGGTGCCCACCGAGGCCTCGGAGCTCACGCCCGACAGGAGCTGCCCCAGGGCCTTGCGCTGGCCCCGCCAGAACTCCCTGGGTGGATGGATGGCCACACACACCACCTTCACTCCCCTCCTCCATTCCTGAACCCACGGCCGTCCCCACCCCCCAGCTGAGCCCCCAGATCCCAGGGGCAACCCCAGACCCCAGAAGGCTCTCCCATCAGGTTAATACAGCCGCCCTATTGGAGAGTCAATGGCAGTTTCTCCGTGTGAAGGGATTGTTGAGTCCAAGCACCCACCCTGAACAGGACGGCCCCTCCTTCCCCTTTCCAGGGTCAAGTCTGGCTACTGGATGTCTGGATTGTGCTCACAGCTAGACTTCCCTCCCTCTCTTCCGGTGTGGAGCAGTGTGAAACTCTCAGAACCAGGATGAATCACGGGCTCTGACACCCGCTGCTCTGGGGATGGGACGTCCCTGACCTTCTGTCCCGGACACCCCCGTCCACGCAGAGGGACCCTGCAGCGTCCCGGGCTCACCTCCTCTTCTTTGCTGCCTTCGGAAAGGCCTGCACCGCCACGCAGCTAGCGTAGGACTCGATGTACCTGCCAGCAGCACAGGAGACAGCCTGCAGGCCCAGCCCGCAGCTTCGCTCCCCAACCCCTGCCATGCCAGGATCCCCAGATCCCACTCACTGATTGGTTGCAGCCCTGCCCCTGACCAGATAATTCTACCTAGTCTTTCTTCCCTGGGGGGGCCCCAAGGCTCAAGTCTGGGGTCTCTGAGCCGGTGCCCGGGGGCGGGGGTGAAGCCCAAGGCCCTGAGGCCGACCCCAGCGGAGCCCGACCCCAGACTGAACCCAGACCTTGGCCTAAGCCTGACCTAAGCCAGGTGAGCCCTCATGCCCCAGCCTTCCTCGATGTCTTACTCCACGTGGACCTGCAGGACACGGTCAGCATCACGTAGCAACAGCAGGGACTCCAGACCCACGGTGTCCTGGTGGCCCAGCCGCTCCCGTAGCGAGTGCAGGCTCTCCTCCGTCACCTCCCAGAGCTGCTGGGAGCTCTGGTGCAGCTGCTGCACGAGCCGCAGGCACTCCCTGATCTGGGGGTCCGAGGGTTCTGGGGCTGGGGCAAGGGGGGGGGCAGCACAAATGCAATGTGAGGGGGGCAGCGCCCTGGAGCCCAGGAGCTGCAGCTGGGGTCCTTAGGACAGGAAAGGAAGCCGGCGTGGCACCCTGAGCTCAGCAGGGACAGGCAGGCTAGAGTGCGGGGCAGTGCCCTTGAGGAATCGGGGGCGGGGGGACCAATCCACCCCCTCACAAAACAGGGTCAGCACTCATGACCTAGGGGCACCAAGTACACTAAATCCCCCGAGACTCTGGGCTTTCTCAGGTCTGGGATATGGGGTCTGTAAGATCCCGTGGTCCTCTGGTACCCACAGAAGCATAGACAGAGCCCCCAGGTGGAAGGCACCTGACCAAGGTCACTTCACAGGTGAGCCCCCAAGTGGGTCATGGCCCAGGTGAGAGTGGGATGAGAATTCAAGCAGAGAACGAGGCCTGTGCACTGGAAGAGGTGGGATTTTGACTCTGTGTATAGCTGGGTCTAGGCCAGGGGTTCACAGTCTGGCCCCGGGGGATGCCTCGGAGAAGGGAACAGCCAGCGACCGGAGGCAGAGCCCCAGTCCCGTCAGAGGATGCCAATACCAAGTGTTCTCACTCCCGTTTGAGGCTGAGAAAGCTGTGCCTCGGAAGGTCTCACAGGGTAGGGCTCAGATCCCCAGGATGGTTCCAGTGTCCCCCACCCTCGCCACTGCAGAGCCGAGACTCACTGGTTTCGAGCAGGGGTTGGAGGACAAGGCTGTTGATGCGGGCGAGGGTAGCTGAGAAGACCTCCTCCAGCCGCCGCAGGGCCTCCTCCTCTGGGCTGCACATGGCCAGGGCACTGCCCTCAGGGCCTGTGAAAGGGACACAAGCAAGAGTGAGGGCCCCAGCGAGAGCAGGGTCAGTGCCATGCCTTCCGTCCATGTGCCCAGGACCACCCATGACAGGTTTGAGCAATCGGCCTGGGTGGCCTCAAAGGGGAATTTCTGGACAGGCCACTGACCCCTGCCCTGCTCTGCCCCTGGGCCCAGCTGAGGGACCTGACCAAGCAGGTGCTCCTCAAGCCCAGTTCTGGCCTAGCCATTCCCCTGCTCAAACATCCACCATGGCTCCCAAGGGCTCACAGTCATACCTAATGGCGCTTTGACCTCACTCCCTCTCCGAGTCTCTTGAAACGAGGAAACACTGTCAGAAGAACCCAGCCTTTTTCTCAAGACCATGACCGAGGACCCCCTGTCACCCAAAGGGCTGTGTAAGCAAGGAAAGGTCTAGGGGAGTAGGGAGGTGCTCTCCTGCTGGAGCCATCACGGATGGGCAAGAAATAAAGAGGCAGAGAGATGGACAAAGCATGCAGGTGGGACACCATGAGAGCAAAGGACCATGGGCCTGAGGGTCCAGGCTCCATGGGTAAGAGTGGCCTAAGTGGTCATCAGAGGAACCATGGAGGACCTCAGGGCAAGGAAGCGGTAGGACCCAGAGTCAGACTTGCAGAGATGGGCATGATGACAGTGCCGAGCAGTGGGAGGGTGAGGTCAGCGTGGGTAACAGCTAGACCCCCGTGCCCCTCAACCCGGCTGACCCTGCTGTGCCTCGAAGAAAGAGGGAGGGGCTGCAGGGGTGGGCAGGTGGGCTTGAGCCTATGGACTTCCCACCCCGGAGTGAGGGGCCCACCATGCAGGCAGGGGATCCCCTGGGAATGCAGCTTTCTGATGAGAGGCAGGGGGAGCAGGGGGCCTGGGCTCCAAGACACCACCCACCCACCCCCAGCCAGGCTGCAGCCTCCCAGAGACACAGCCCTCTCCCACCAGCGCTGGATGCCCTCACCAAGCAAAGTTCATCTGCCCAAATGACCTGACCAGATGTCTCAGGGGTGAGAGCTGGAGGGTTTCTTAGCCCCAGACCCTCTCACTGCCTCTCCCTGGCTCTGACACTCTGAGGCTCCACAGTTAGCTGGGTGGGGTGGGGTGGGAGATACAATGGAAGCTTCTGGAATGGGCAGGCAACACAGACAGCCCCAAAAGGGCAAAGAAGAAGGGGTCTCATCCCTCCCAACCCGAGCCCTGCGGCACAGAGGGCATTCAGGCCCCTGGCAAAACCTGCAACTCCCATAGCACAGGCTCCGGGGAAGGGGGGGCGGGTGCCTCAGAGCTCTGGCCAAGGGCCCAGGCCCCGGCATTCCTGCCCCACCTTTCCTGCTGCTGCAGCTTCAGGAGGGCGAGGCCTCGGGAGGGACAGGCAGGAAGGGGAAGCAGCTAGACACCCAGCTGTGGCCTGCTTTCTCCCTGGGCCCCTCCAGGCCCCTGTGACAGCCCTGTAAACCCCCATGCACCCCCCCCAACCTGGGGCCAGGGTACAGCAAGTGGGGGCCGCCTGACCCTCCCCCATTATCTCCAGAAACGGATGGAATGGAAAGACCCTTTGGGGGCTGACTTTTCTATCCCCAGTGGGCAGCCAGTCAGTCGGGGTCTGAACTGAGAGGTGAGGACACGGGCTAAAGGCAGAGGAAGAGGGTGCAGCCAGCATCCTCCGAAGCCAGTGGATAGGAACCAGATGAGGGCAAGTGTGGACCTGCTGTCAACAGCCAGAGGCTGGGAGGTCCTGAGTAGCAAGCAGCCCCACACTCACACTGATCTGGGACTCACCCACGCCAGACCCAGGACATGGAGCTCTCTACCCCTCTCCACCTCAGACTACCCCCCTCTCCCCACTGCAGGGCTGGCAGCTACCGCTCCCTACTTATCTGCCTGCACCCTTGGCCCACACCTCAGCCGCCCTCAAGGGACTCCCTGCTGACCCCCCACCCACCACTGCTCAGTGCTGGTCATGGTCCAGCTTATCCAGAGCCCTGCTCCTCTCTAGGCCTCAGTCACCTCCTCTGTGAAATGGGGGTCTGATTAGATCAGAGCTTTCAAATTATGTAAGCCCTCCTTAGAAGGGACAAACAGGTGCGGGGAGCTGCTCTGGGTGTGGAGACCTAGTCCTCTGCTTCCCTCCCCGCTCAAAGCTGCCTGGGCCCCTCAGGATGAGTCTTACAGACACAGACTGGCAGACACGACTCTAGGACCCTTCCAGATCTGTGGCCCCAAAGGGATGTCTACCCCTAGGGAACTGAGGCACATCGCCCAGAGGAAAGGCCAGAAGTTAAGCATGACTGGTGAAGTAGTGGGTGGGGGGAAAGCTGTAGATGAGGTTGGGGGTCTGGCCTGGTGTTGACCATGGGACCCTACTCCTTGGCTAGGGTGCTTGGGATTCATCCTGGAGGTAACCAAGGGTGCAAGAGCAGGGAGCAGACTAGGTATCAGGTATGAGTGTGTTTGGGGGTGGAGGGGAGGTGTTAAGCCATAACATGAGAGGGACCCAGCACCCAGCAGGAGTAATCCCTGATCAAATCCCATCATACCCCCAACCCACCCGGCTGTGGTCAAGGGCATGGCCTCCTTACCCTCGCCCTCTACCCAGGTTTAAGGTTCCTTAGTGGCAGGCTGCACAGGAGGTACATATGGAGAAACTGAGGCCTAGAAAGGGACTGGAGGACCAAGACACTATCTGTAGAGCACGTGCAAGGCTCAGTCTGACCCAGGCCTCTGGCTCCATGTCCCACCAGGCTCACCTGAGCTAGGTAGTTCAGAAAGGCTGGGCAACTTGCCTCAGGGCACACAGCAAATCCCCAGCACGGCCCAGCCTCCTACCTCTTCAGGCAGCCTTGGTGCTCTCTGTGGGGTGGGTGAGGACAGAACTGGCTAGTCTCAGCGTGCCCAGGTGAGTCAGCTGCCCGTCCCCGTGTCGATCTAACCAGCAGCCAGACCTGCTTTCTCCCCTGCATTCATGGCCTCTGTCCAAGCCAGGTTGCTCTCGGGCAGGGTCATTGGGACATCCCCTACCCTCTCCAAGGCCCCTTAGGCCCCTGGGCCACACCCTGTCATGGCACCCACTCTGGTATTTCCTGGTCTGAACAGGCAAGAAAGTTTTGCTTGGTGACTTTTTTCTGGGCTGCCCAGGCCCCCTAAAACAACCACCAAGCACAGTAGTAGAGCAGAAGGGGGCTGCCCCAGGGAGGCAGCACTCAACTGCCACAGCTGACCCCTCAGTCACCACTTGGGCCTCCCCCACACCCCCGCACCCCTTCTCTGGCCCTCCATGGCTCCCAGTTTCTCCTCCTAGACAGCCCACAGCACCCCCCCACCACCACCCCCTGCCTCCCCAGGCTCTCACAGTTCTCCTGCCCCTCCCTGTCCCGGCACACGCAGTCCCCAGAGTTTCGCAAACATGGGATCCTTTTCCAGCCACCAGGCATTTGCCCATGCTGGTCTCACTGCAGGCGTCACCTCCTCCTGGCAGTCCCCCAGGTTGGGTGAGGTCCAGGGAGCAGCCCTCGCACCCCATACGGGGGTGCGGGGGCTGTCCCTGCGCTGTCCCTAAACCCGAGCCGGGTGACCACGGGGCGGGGAGGACGAGGCTTAAGTCCGCTGGCACGGAGGGGGCCTTGGGACAACCTCGGACCGCCCCGGTGTGAGTGCCGCCTGGGACCGAGGAGTCGTGGAGGGACCGCGACGCGCTGGCCAAGGGGGCGCTAGGCGAAGGTCCCACCTGGAGTGAGGGAACGCGGAGCACAGGAGCCAGGCCACAGACGCGCGACCTCCGCCCCGCCCTTACCTGTGCGGTGCCGGTACCCCGAGCGGGGAGTGTTGCCGCGGCCGCTCGCAGCCCGCCGCCCGCACGCCACCCACCGCCCCCCCGCCCCCGGTTCTGGCGTCCGCCACGCCCCCGGCGCCCGCCACGCCCCTCGCCACGCCCCGCCTCCGGGAGTTGCCAGTGGAAGTTGGAGCTGGCGCCGACCGGCCCGCCTGGCAGGAGGTGGGACGCTGCGTCGGTCCGCCCCGCCAGAGGTCTACTCTTACGGCCTTTACCTGGAGTTCTCCGGGGTCCGAAGTTTCCTGGGACCCGATGGGAGTGAGAGAAGGGGTACTGACTCCTCCGCCCCCTGAAACACACACATACACCCACTCACTCACTTACTCAGGCCCAGGCCAGCCTGTTTTCCTGGGGAAAGGTCTCCCGGCGTAGCAAGCAGTGTCAGGGAAGCAGCGTGGCTTTCCTGGTCCTGCCAGAGCCTTCTCGGTGCACTTGCCCCTGTTCTGACGCTCTGGGGCCTGGGTGCAGCCCCTGACCCCCTCCGCCGATACCGAATCACAAGAATCACAAGAAATTTGAAGCCGAGAGTGGGGGAAACCGAGGCTGCCCTGCGGCCCCGTGGGCCAGGTGTGTACGGCCAGCCTCCACTCCTTTCTGTGTGACCTTAGGGAAATCCCCCTGCCCAAACTGCTGGGTCTCTACATGGTCCAGTAGAGCGAGAAGCCAGCGCTTGTGTGCTCCAGAGCCTGTGACCTTGGAAAGGGTGGTGGAAGCCTAATCCCAAGAGTGGGGGGACAGGTTCAGCCTGTAACAAAGGAGCCCCCTGTCTGCTGTCTGGTCCCCCTCCAGGGGCCATGCCAGTCCCCCCAACCCCCATCAATTCCCGTGGGACTCAGCTTCCAGGGGATGACAGGAGTCATTGCCCCTTTCATGGCTGACAACACTGAGGCCAACAGGACCGGTTGCGGGCAGTGGAAGAGCAGAAAGCGTAGCCCGCCAACCTCCTACTCAAGTCTGAGGGGTGGGGGGTCATGCCTCATCCTATCAAGCTGAAGAGAGATCCCCCAGTGAAGGGGGCTCATGATGGTTCAAGGGGTTCCTTCCCAAAAGAGCAGGTCCCGGTGGGTCTGCAGGTCCCCTGGCACATGGGGGTGGTCAGGTTTCTGGGGCTTGGGAGGAAGGGTCAAGGGCTGGAGAGTGGCCACAGCCACATGCAGCAAGCGAAAGGCTGTCCAAGAGTACATGTTCTCACCATGCGTGACAAGCAAGGCAGGCAGGACAGAGTCCCGAGCAGGAGGAAGCTGATTTTGTGTTTGGCATTTCTGGGCCAGCACTTCCCCACTTTGGGTCTCAGTGTCCTCATCTGTACCTGTAGCTGAGAGGGGAGCTGGGCTGGAGCAGGAAGGGACAGGCCCCCTCCGCTTCCTCCCCGCAGCCCAGACTTCCTGTTCAGCCACATCTAGGGGAATTGGAAGGCTGGGGCTGGTCTTCTTTTCACCACTGCCCACCCCCAGGCTGGGTGACCTCAGCAGCATTGCAAAGCGTGGTATTATTGTCTGCCAAATGGGACAAAACCTGCCAAGCCTCTCTGTCTCTCTCGGATGGGGCCAAGTCATCTGTAATGCCCCCAGTAGTATAGGAAGGACGACCTCCCCGGGTCTGCCTGCCCTTGGTCCCCTGCAACATGGCCAAGGGCCCATGCCCAGTCCCACCACAGAGCGGCACACACCCGTGCACACCACTCCCATGTCCCCCTGCACACATGTATGATTCCACAGTCATAGGGATGTGTGGTGTGCACACTTAAGCGCACCACACGGACCCATCTACTACTGAACTCAATGGCAGGACTCCCATGTAGCACATTTCAGGAGGCAGTCCTGTGTGTGGGTCCATGTGGACCACGTGCCCATCCCCATGGACACAGACTTACACACTGCATCATGCAATACACACGAAGACTCACAGTCAGACCCGCAGAAAGGTGAGTGCAGAGTGTGCCTGCACTTCTGTGTACATGCGTGCCCTGGGACACAAGGTCTCACCAGGTCCAAGCCCAGCCCCAGAGTTATTCTGGGCCAGACCTGAGGCCAACAAGGTCAGAGATGGCCAGCACCCAGCAGGCCCCAGCCACTGTGTCACAGGCCTGGCTGGCCCCGTTCCCCACCCCCACCTGACCTCACCCCCACCACCCCCAGCCCAGGCTAAGTCCAAGATATCTCAGATCCCAGCCTGGCTCTGTGGCCAGGAAGATACCCAGTCCCAAGCCTCTGCTTCACCAGAACTGAGCCTCAAGCCCTGGCATTTCTGGCCCCAAGAAGGAGCTGTCACAGTTCCCCCTGGCCACCATCAATTGACTCTGCCCATGGCCTCCAACCCAGAGGCCCAGGAGACGGGACTGGGTCCCCACCGGAAATCCACAGGAGCTAAAAAAAGCACACAAAGGACAAACAGGATTCTGTGGGCCAGGCTTCATGTCACCATGCATGGAGTGGGGACACTTGTCTTCCAGGGGAGCCTGGCTGGGGAGCCTGAGGGTCTAGATTTCTGCCAACCCAGACTTGATGGGCCCTGTTGGCGGTAGGGTGCAGGGGGATCCTGGGAGGGACTAGAAATAGTACTGGGCAGGGGCAGAGCCTGGGTCAGGGGCCACAGATACTGAGTCTGAGTCCTCCGTTCCTGCATGACCTGACGGAGGGCACAACCCCTCTCTGGCCTTCAATTCCTCATAAGTACACGGAGGAGAGGAAGAAGAGCCTTCCAAGATAAAAAAGCCTTTTTAGCTTTGCGGGTGTTTTTTTCACCGTGGTGTTTCACATTTTGGAGAACTGGGGAAAATGCAAATATTTGACAGGCATTGAATGAGGTGCTGGGTTTTTTGTTTTTCTTTAAAGATTTTGTTTATTTAACAGAAACAGTGAGAGAGGAAACACAAGCAGGGGAGGAGAGAGAGGGAGAAGCAGACTCCCCACTGAGCAGGGAGCCCAATGTGGGGCTCAATCCCAGGACCCTGAGATCATGACCTGAGCCGAAGGCAGACACTTAACGACTGAGCCACCCAGGACCCCCAATGCTGCTGGGTTTTACTACCGTGTGATATCACACTGCCTTTCCCCACAATAACCACAACAGAACGACTAGCATGGCCCAAAGGCTTCCGACCTGCAGGGGTCATGATACTGCTGTAACCCATTTTACAGATGAGGGATTGAAGCTCAGAGAGGTTAGTTGCCCACTGAGGTCTCACAGCCATCAAGATGACCATGCCCCTGGAGTCTTAGTTTTAAGCTTTACTAACTTTAAATGTTATAAAGTATAAAGCTACAAACCTATAAGAAACATAATTTAAAAGTTTCCTTAAATTTTCCTTATGCTACTTTAGTTTTGTGAACTTTGGATAATAACTTCAGTGTTTTCAATCAACTTTTGCCATCTCTACAGGGCAAAAAGAGGAAATTTGAATAAACTTCTGAACTGTGTTTCTTGTAAATTTGCAGCTTCATACTTCTCAGGTTATAAAAGCTTAAAACTGTCCTGTTTCAGGACTCCCTGTTTTTTTAAAGTCAGTTTGACTTCAAAGCCTATGCAACAGTATTTGACAGTGCCTTTGGGGGACATGTGGGTCTAGGATTGTCAGGCTGGGTAAAAGCTCTGGGTGTAAAAAAAAAAAAAAAAAGCCTGCAAAGAAATGGAACCCATGTGGAACAATGGCTATCTCAGGGGACAGTAGGGACACACATGATTGTATTCCCTTTCAGATTTCTTCACTGAGCTTGCCCTACTTCTTGGATAGAAAGACTGAACTTTGCGGGAAATACCTCTCCTGGGCTGAGCCATCCTATGCTCAGCACTCCCATAATCCTTAGTTCAATATCATGTTCCCAACAGCCCCTTGATACAGTCTTATCCTTTCCATTCCACAGATGAGGAATTCAAAGCAGAGAGGAGTAATGGCTTCCCCAATGCCACTGTCAGGCCCACTAACCTCAGCCCACTCCAGCCAAGGCCTTTCTGACCCTACGTCCCAAGGCTGACCTCCCTGGCTGGTCAGTGTGGCTTTCCCTAGCCTGGCCTATGACAGATGGCACGAGGAAGTGGGAACTTTAGCAAGTGACTTGAGCCTTAGTAGAATTTGCCTGGCTTGGGCGAGCATGGGGAGGATGGGGTGGCCGAGTCCACCCAGCCCTCAGCCTTGGCCACCCCACTGGCAAGGATCCCTTGAGCCAGCTGTCCTTTGCCAGTGGCTCTTCTGTTTCTGCCTGCCTGGTGATCTCCCAGACCTGTCCCCTGTGGGTGTCCATAGCTGGCCCTCTGCTCTCTGCTGTCACTCGCCTTGGTCCTCGCCCATCTGCTGCATCTCTATGCTCTGTCCCTAGGTTCCTAGTTCTGAGGGCGGACCCAATGCTCGAAGCCCCTCAGCCTTCTCCCCTGTCTATGGTGATGAAGAATGTAGGGTCCAACAGCTGGCTGGTTCTCCAGCACTCTGAAGGCACAAGATAAATAACAATGGAAAAAAGGAGAGAGGAGGATGGGAGGAAGAAAGGAAGGGAAGAAGGGAAGGAGGGAGGAGGGAGGGAGGGAGGGAGGGAGGGAAGTAGGAAAGGGGAGAAGAGGAAGGATGGACCAGAGAAGTCTCCCCACCCCAGATCTCCCTCCTCCTCCTTCAGAGCCCTTGTGGTCTCTACAGCTCCTCAGACCCACCCTCCCTCCATCCCTGGGTTGTCAAGGCTCATCGTGGGTTGACGACCAGAGAACATGTGGGCCAGGTTGAGTGTGAGGTCAGGATCATGCCTCAGACTGGAGTGACAATGGGGGCTCAGACTGTGGCAGAGGCTCAGGGTCAGCTAGAGTTAGGAAATGGCCCTCCAGCCCTTCCAGGTGGAGACTTCCCTGTCTCGTGGGGCAGCAGATGCTGGCTCTTCAGGAACCTTCCACAGTACCCACAACTAGAGTGCTGACCATACCATCCCCAGGTTCCCCATCCCCCTCTCTAGCTCTGGTGTCCAGAGTGACCAGACCCGTTTCTGGGCAGGAAGCCAGCCCAGAAAGCCCAGGACATCCCTGAGCGCCCGTCCCTATGGCAACCTGCCTGCCAACCCCCCCCCCCTCCCCCCCCCCTACCCCCCCCCCCCACACCCCCCCCCCCCCCCCGCCCGCACAAACTACCATCACCAGCCTGGGTCCAGTAGGGTTTTTCAAATTCAGAACGTCAGACTGGGAAGGGCCTCCTAGATCAGCAGATGTTAGCCCCTCCCCTTGCCCCAGATGGAGAAACTGAGGCCCGACTGGGGCGGGGGTGGGGTGGGGTGGGGTGGGGGTGGGACCTGTAGTTCAAGGACCCGCCCCCAGCCCATCCTCCTCCTCCCACCCACTCCCACCCCTCGGGCCGGCTGGGTGAGGTTAGAGGAGGGGGATCCAGACTCGTATCCCCCAAGGGATGGGGGGCGGGCCCTGGGCGGGCAGCACGGGAACCAGACACCAACGATGAATAAATGATGCCCACTCGCAGCCTGCGACCAGATCGCCGCCGCGAGCGCCGGCTGGTGGGGCGGTCACCAGGCCAACCGCGCCCGGCCCCGCGCGACCGGCTCCCCCCACCTGCGGCCGCGGGCGCGGAGCTGCGGGCGCGAAGATGGCGAGGCGGCGACGGGGCGCGGGGCCCCTCTGGGCGCTGGGGCTCTGCCTTGCGAGGGTCGCCGGGCAGCTGGTGGAGGTGAGGCGTGGCGACGCGGAAGGGCCAGGGAGGCTGTGGCCCGCCAGCAGAGGCTTAGGGAAAGCCCTTCTGCCTGGGAGCTGGCTTTTTCCCTTCCAACTGTCCTCGCAGACCTGGATCATGGGGTGACACTGCTCTGTCCCCTGAGCTTCCAGGCTGTGCAGGAGACTCAGCCCCCAAACTTAGGGTCCCTGATGGGAGGGTACAGCCCCAGATTTCAGTCTGGTGGGGGAGACTTACTCTGATCATATGGATTCCCAGTCCGGGGATACAGCTATGCTCAGTCAGCCCTTACCCTCTTGCCTTTGGTCTAATGAGGGCCAGGGAGGGCTGGGGGAGACAGAGTCCTTGGTGTCAGTGACCTCTAGTCTGATAGGGGAGATCTAGTCACTGATTTTAGTCCCTGAGCTTAGGGTCTGCTTAGATCTAGTCCCTGATCTTAGTCCCTGATCTTAGGGTCTGCTGGAGGAAAAAGCTTCTGCTGATGGGGGTGACATAGCCTTGAGAAGGTGAGGGCTTTCCAAGCTGGAGGGTGGGGTCAGGGAGACGAGACCGAGACCGTTTACAGAGGAGTTCTGTGTTGAGTTCAGCTCCCATGTGGAGCACTTGGCCCCAGAGGGGAGGTACAGGCAGGGCGGGACCCAGGACTCAGGGGGTCTTACTTGGTCATGGTGATCATGGAGAGCCAGCAAAGGTCTCTGAGCAGGGAAGAGTCGTGGATGAGTTTTGGTGTGGAAGGAGGAGGATAAACCGGAAGAGGGCATGTAGTTGGGAGAGCTGGGGGCACTGCTGAGATAGCCTGGTAAGGTGAGGAGGATGGGTGGGGTGGATGGCCAGGAGCATGGCTGGGGCCAGGAAGGGCTGGGAGGGGAAGAGTGGGGACCATTGCAGCCTCCCTGTCCCCTCTGTCCCCAGTTCCTGCTGAGCCGTGAAGGGGAGCCAAAGAGGCAGACCAGAACCAGAATTCTGAAACATGAGGCCAGATGGAAAGGCCCAAGAGGCAGGGCTAGGAAGGAGCAGGATTCGGAGCCTGTGCAAGGGGCAGAGAGGAGAGAGCAGAGAGAAAGAAGGACAAGAAACAGTGAGGCGTCCAGGAAAGCCCTTGGGAGCAGGTGCCAGGGGACAGGATGGGAGAGGAAGAACAGAGTCTTATCCTGAGGACCTAAGAGGACACAGCCTTGAACCTGAGGGTCCGAGGGAGAAGAAGACAGAGCTGCGTTCACCAATACTAAGCCTGTCCATGCTCCTGACCAGGGGGTGTGATCAAAAGACTGGGCTGGAGTCAGGTGTCAGCTCCAGTGTCCCTGTAAGGGGAGCCAGGCTGGCCTGAGTCACACAGAGTGTACCTGGACCCCTTCTTGGCGGCCCCAAGGCCTTGGGTGCAGAAACTGAGCTGGCCTGGGTGCGGGAGAAGGTGGAGGGTGGCAGTCATGTCAGTTCTGAGCCAAGGACTCTTCCCCTCAGCCCCCGGGAGCTCATCTTCTCCCTGCTCATCAAGGGAAATTGCATCTGCAGTCCATCTGCCTGCCATTTGCCTACAGCCTGAACAAGGGCCTGGCTGAGCCCAGGGGATCCAGGCAAGCACCAGAAAGATGGGTAGGGCCGGAGTCCGCAACACCACCCATGACAGCCCCTCCAGGCATCATTCTCCAGCTGCTGGAGCCTGGGGCTCCCAAGATTTAGGTTTAGACCTTCCGCAGTGCCCACCACAGAGATGGCCGACTCTTGCCTATTACCCTCTACCCAAGATCCCTATCAAGGTGAGATTAGAAGCTCAATTCTGCCTGGAACAAGGCTAGAATGAGGAGGTGTCAGAAGTGGGCTCTCAGCTACCCGGGCTCAGAATCTGAGATCTCGTCTCTGGACCTCAGAACCTTCCAGCCATACAGCCCATCCGCACCAAACACACTGAGCCTTAGAATCGGGAAGCCAGCCACTGCCCAGACCGTGGCCCTGATTCTACAGACCTATGACTGACCACAGATGCATACCCCCACAGTATGCATGCCTTGTACCTACACACATGTGCCCTGAACCCACAGAGGTTCCTGACCCCACATACATGTGTCTCACCCTACAAATGGATCCAGGCCCCTGGGATGATGCTGAGGAAGGGTATCTTCTCATCATTACCACTCTGATTGGGTAGAGAGAGCTTCTCAGAGAGCCCAGGAACCACCTGGCTCAAGTTACAGATGGAGAAATTGAGGCTTAGAGGTAACAAGTTTACCCTGACCCAGGGAAAAGTGCTGGGGAATCACATACCAATCCCAAGCTCACAGGTTACCTGGAACGTGCTAAAGGGCGGTGTTGTTGAGATGAGGAAGCTGCTGGCTTGTGGTAGGTGCACAGCGCATGCTCATGGACCAGGGGAAAGACCAGATGGATGGTTGAGCTTCGAGCTGCCTTTCCTTCCTAGAGAGCCAGAGGAGACTGCAGGTCCTGATTCAGTTAGTCAGGAGACAGCGAAGTCCACAGATGCCCCAGCGTCCTCTCTCCCTCTGAGCCTTAACCAATCCCACCCGCCCCCAATCTCCCCCCCCCTCCATGGCCCACATCCCTCAGCCTAATTCGGTGATAGAGATAGGGTCATAGCCCTCTCAGTCCCTCAGGTTAGGGACAGGTCCTGCCCAGACCCACTGGGCAGGGTCTTGTTCCCTCAGTCCCCCAGGGCAGGGCAGTGTCCCCTAGACTCCCAGAGCAAGGAGGCATCCCACTGGGAGGTGGGATGTTCCAGCCATGCTTACAATGCTTGGCCTCTAGGTGTCGCTGCCGCCTTGCAGACTATTTATCTCGTCCTGTCCTGGGAGGGCTCCGGCCTAGCCCATAGTCAGAAGAGGACTCTGGCAGGAGGGGCAAATATTGAGGTCACCCAGTGGGGGTCCTGGCCAGGAAGCAGAGCCACGGGACCTGGGTCCAGCTCCACACCCCACCCCACACTGAGGATGCTTGGAAGCAAAGTCCCCCAGGACAGTACTGGCCTTGCCTTGTCTCTGGCCTTGGTCCTGAGACCCCATTTGCCTGTGGGGCCCCGGACTGGAGCAGGAGGGGAGACTAGCAGTCTGCCTGAAGGGGACTTGAACCTGATTGGGACAAGCCATCCATCCACCTTTGCCCGTTTAGGCCTCGGTGTCCTCAGGCACCCTGGTACTCCAGGTCACTGGCTCCATGGTTCTGGGGCTCTGCTTTCTTCTCTTGCTCTAAACCTGGAACCTCCCAAGGTCCAGGGCGTTGGCTGTGACTGTCTAAGACACCTGATTCTAGATGATTCTGGAATACTCGGGCGGAGTCCTTACTGAAACCTGGGCCTCTCTCCGCCCAGGCCCAGCCCCAGCCCCAGCCCCTGGTCTCTGCCTGGCTTCACTTCCCTCTCTCCCGACCTGCAGCCCAGCACAGCCCCGCCCAAGCCCAAGCCGCCCCCGCTGACCAAGGAGACGGTGGTGTTCTGGGACATGCGCCTCTGGCACGTCGTGGGCATCTTCTCGCTCTTCGTGTTGTCCATCAGTGAGTAGCTGCTCCCCGCCCCCTCCCACGCCGCTGCAGAAGCCCAGCACCCCCTGTCCCCACCCCCATCCCTACCAGCACCACCCCCCAGGGGCTCAGAGCAGCAATTCCGGGCAGTGCAAGCAGGCCAGTCGCCCGCAGGAGGCCCACTGTGGTTTCTGGCATCTCCTGTTCTACACAGAGTCCCTGTGGAGGGCTGACAGGCTGGTGGTGACCTGAAGTATTCTGCCCGGCTGGGACACAGCCACACGGCAATTACGGTAATTACAGGGGACTCCACTGAACCAGGATGAGGACGTGTCATTTTTCCCTATCGCTGGCCTCCCGGTGCTTTTCCTGCAGTTTGGCCCGCTTAAAGGGCCCACACCCAGAGGCCCCAGCAAGGCCATCCTTGGCCGCAGCTCAGCCTAGAGGCTCCCCAGACGCCCGGCAGATGTGGCTCCCGGGCTGGAAACCGTGCCTTGTCAACTCCCACTCCCCTGGAATGACTCACACCCCCCTCAATTAAAAGCAGGAGACCCCTTCCTCTCCCGGGACTGGGAGTTGTTGGATGCGAACTCACAACAGAAATGGGTTTGGCATGCTCTCTTCGGCCCTTCCAGAGTAGGGGGTCTGCCGCTGGGGAAAGAGGGGCAGAGAAAGGCCAATGGAAGGGGGAGGCCGCCAGGGTACAACATAGAGTCTGACAACACTTTCCATACACCATGGATCGGAGGAGACGCAGGCAAGGAAGAGAAAGAAAACCCACTCCCCCTACACAAGCTTCATGGAGAAGGGTCTCTTAGCTGCACATCAGTGAGAGAATGCATAGTTTTGCCGGGTGGGCAAGTGGAAAAGCATTCCAGGCAGAGAGGACGGTGTAAGCAGAGGTGGGAGGAAATGCCCCCGACACCAAGTCTCAGATCTCCGCTATAGGATTTTTGCTGACTGCACCCTGGGTCTGGGCAGCGAAAATGTCATTTAAGTTCTAGCTGGAGCTGTCCCAGGATGTCCCCTGGAGGGCAGCGTCCCGGCAGAGGGCCCACCCAGATGTAAGGACTCCAAGGGAGACAAAGACATCTGATTTGCATGTGCTTCTCCTGGCACCAGGAAGGCCCTCCTTGTGGGAAAATAATCCACACCCCACCATCACCATTTCTTCACCGCTGGGGTGGGAGTGGGAGCCGAGCAAGAGGCTACATTTCATTCCTGGCCAAGGCAAGAACTACTGAGTCCTCTCCGTGGAGGCCCTGTGGACAGCCAGCTGTGGCTGCGGCCCCAGCCCAGGCATCCAGAGGGGAAACCATGGCCCTGTCCGCCACCCCACACCTGCACCCCAGCACCAAGAGGCAGGATTCCAGGAGGCATCTGCCTGCTGGAGCAGTGTAGGGTGCAGGTCAAGGGAGCCATTCTGGGGTACTCCAGGGAGTAGGAGTGAGGACACCAAAGGGCCTCTAGACACAGGCTATCCTCTCCGGGCCCTGCTCGGCCCCAGACAGAGGAGGTGCCTAGGGCCACACAAGGAGGTTGCAATGTCAGACCCAAAGAGGAGCTTGGACGTGAAGCATGTAGACCAGCTCCTACACCCCACCCTATTTCCTAGAAAAGGGTAAGGGAGAGTCCCAAAGGCCTCTGAGCAGCTGGTCTCTACTCGTTGTCACCTTCTGTGCCAGGCTCTAGGGAGCAGAGATGGCCTAGCCCCATCTCCTGGGGATGAAGCATCTTTCCTGACTTCAGTCAACTTGGGCCTAGTGGCACCGCTGTTGGTGGCGTGTCACTCCAGAACCTTGTGCACAGGGGCTGGGTTTGGATGGGGGTGCCTCGGGAGGTCTCTCCAGCCTGGGGACTCACATTGCAAGCCCCTGTCGGGGCCCTGGAACTCCATCCAAGGCACATTGTTTTTTTCCTTCTTTGATGAGAAATGACCAGGCCAGGCTGGGTGGGGCAGGCCTGGAACGAGGGGCGGCGTCTGAGCCCTGAGCCAGGTGCCAATAGCTGAGCTCCCTTTGGAGCCCAGGCTTTTCAGGGCCTGGGACCAGCCTCTGGTGAGAGCCTGAGCAAGCACATGAGAGGACGTGCCCAGCGGGCGGCTGGAAGGGGTGGCGTAAGCCAGCAGGATCAGGGCTGTGGGCATACACACTGGGGCCTGGAGAAGACTAGAACCCAGCTTTGAAGGGATAAGAAAGGCTTATCCAAGGTGCCAGGAGAAGCACATGCCTCTGGACAGCCCTGTGCAGTCAGACCTACTGCTGGGGTCTCGTGCAGTCCCCCAGAGTTCCCGATTATTGTCAGCTCCCCTGTCCATCCATTCGGGAATCTGGTTGTCTTCAGGAACAAAGGATTTGAGAGCATCTCATGCATTCATTCATTCATTCTTTTTTTTTTTCTCATTCTGTGAATCTGGGGGAGACTTAGTGGGGCCACAAGATTTGGCTGAAGGGGTTGCGTAAGTTGACCCCAAAGGGTGCTCCAGCCCCGGCTACATCAGTCTAATCCATCTTCCTTAAAATAGGCCTGGCTTGTTCTGCTTGGCCATCCTGCCCCCAGGAGTCTGCCAGGAAGTTATGTCCTGTCATCCGATTTATAATAAGCGGCAGCCCGGTCCCCTCCCCTGAGGCCGGGGCCAGGGTGGTCAGACTGTGGGGCCTTAGAAAAACAAACTCAGTCCAGCCAGGTCCTGGCAGCCGTGCCCAGCCCTGCCCATCACTAGACAGGCCAGCTCCATTCCTTGGCCCAGCTTGCGTGGGCACAGCTGCCTTCAGCCGGAAAACTGCTCCTGGAATAACTATCTGCGTAAACACCCCAGGGCAGGGTCTGTGCCCTCTGGGGGACCCTCATGGCCAGGAGAAGCCCAGGCTTGTCCTCAAGGAGGTTGAGGAAGACATGGCCCCATCCTTCAGTGTCTGAGATCCTCTCAGGAGCCTGGAGAGGAAGCACCAGGAGTTGAGAGGCCTGGGTGGGAACACAGGCCAGCATCTGGGTGACTGTTGTTTGAGTCACTGTGCAGGCCTCTGCCCTGTCCTCCAGGGGTCCCGATCTAGTCAGAAAGCGAGATCAGCAACAGGACTTAGAGGCCAGTGCAAAAAGTACGAGACCCCCTTGTTCAGAAATTGTTAAGAACAGCGACAGCAGCCCATTAAGCCCAGCGCCAGGTCCTTCGGAGAGCGGGCCCCTGCGTGATTCTCTGAAGTCGGTCCCGCTCAGGAGAAGAGATCCCAGGAAGAATCCCAGAGCCTACAGGGATCTCGTGCAAACGCAGAGCTTTCTGCCAGCGATTGCTGGGTGAGATGCACGTAGGCAGGTTAGGGCAGGTCTGAAATGTGGGGACCGTTCCTGGGATGTCTGAGCTCCAGCCTTGGCCAAGCCTGCTCTGTCCCCCCCCCCCCCCCCACCCCTGCTACAGTCATCACTCTGTGCTGCATCTTCAACTGCCGCGTGCCCCGGACCCGGAAGGAGATTGAAGCCCGCTACTTGCAGCGGAAGGCCGCCAAGATGTACACGGACAAACTCGAGACGGTGCCCCCCCTCAACGAGCTCACGGAGATCCCCGGGGGTGAGCAGGCAGGGGTCCCCCAACCCCGCCCCCCCACCACCTGTCCTGCCTGAACCAGCCCCTTTCTCAGTCCTGCCACCGAGAGTGGCCCTGCTCCTCCCCTCCCCCAGCATGAGGTTCTGGTCCCTGGAGACCAGAGTGCACAAATGGGCCTGAGGGAGGCAGGTAACACAAGGAGCTCTTCTGCAGGTGGGAGAGGTTTGGAAGGAAGAAGTGAAGGGCTGGCTGTGGGGGGCTCTGGTGTGGGTCCTATGACCCCCCCTGCCTCACCCCTGCCCCTGCCCCTCTTCTACCCCACAGAGGATAAGAAGAAGAAGAAGAAGAAGGACAGTGTGGACACCGTGGCCATCAAGGTAGAGGAGGATGAGAAGAATGAAGCCAAGAAGAAGAAAGGGGAGAAATGAGGAGGGCTTCCTGGAGGTGGCAGCCCAGGCTGGCTAGCCCTGGGGCTCAAGTTCTGGCCAGGGTCCGGGCATCTTGGACTCCCAGCACATCCATGGACTAGAGAGACTGCAGAACACCCTCTTCTTGGCTCCGAGGGGCCTGCTGAGGCCCCATCCTGACAGCCCATTGGGGGGCAGGGCCCGGACTGCACCTGGCATCCTGGCTCCCAGCCTGGACTCCGATCCTTTCACCCCACCCATGTGGCCGCTCAGCAAAGGTGGTCTTGGGCCTCTGTCCCCCTGCAGATCCGGAGTGGGGTGGCCTTGCGCCCACCCAGACATGCCTCTGTCCCTACTTCCAGGAACAGCAGTGGCTCTACGGGGCTGATGGGACGTGGCTTGCCTCTTAGAAGGAGACGGCAGAACTGGAGGGGCTGGAGTGTGACGCCACAGCCAGGCTGGCCGCGGGGGAGAAGAGGGTCACTGGGGGAAGCTGAGCCAAGGCTCTCAGCCTTCTCCAGACAGCAGCCCTGGTAGCCAGGGAGCTTGCCCAGGCCCAGCCGGGGTCCTGGCCGGGGAGGTGACTAGAACGCCCATCTGGAGGCAGGGGAACTCCAGCCCCACATGCCAGGCAGCTGCACTGGACCTGAGGCTGCTGGGAGGCCGAGTGTGAGGCCTAGGGACTCGGGGCTCGGGGGGTTTCAGGGGTGGGTCGGGGTGCAGAAGGCTGAGGCCTGCGGGCTAAAGGGAGCACAGAAGAAAGCTGGTAGCAGGGCCCCATCTGGGAGAATCCAGGGAGTCCCGGAGAAGCCTAGGGGAGCATTGTGGGGGTCGTCAGAGTCCCCCCCTGCTGGGGTCACCGCAGGGGACAGTCAGGGCGCCAAGGCAGCAGGCGGCCTTCCACCCGTTGTGCAGAACAGCATCCAGCTCCCTCTTCTACCACCTCAACAGTGGTGCCTCAGGGAGTCACTGCTGACCAGAGTCGGGGAGGCCCACAGCCCTCACCCCAAGGCTGACTTCTCGGGGAGGGAACATACAGAGGGATTTCCCAATGGTGGCTAACCTCCGCGGAGGTGCACACGTCTGGGCCTGGAAACTGAGGAGACGCCATGGTTCCTGAGCTGGGGCGAGCAGCCTTGGTGGCCTGCGACGGATGTGTAAATAAAGCTGAATGCCTTCTTGTACCTGAGTGGCCTGAGATGATCCCTCAGGGTGCCCTGTCCCTGGAGCATATACGCAGAGGGTGACGCACTGTGACAGGCTGGCGGGCGGCACTGGCCAAGCAGGAGCTCTCTCCCCTAACTATGCCCCCAGCCTGAACTGGGACGAGCTGGAGGGAGAGGCTCCGGCGGCCAGCTGGGCATCAAGACCGAGAGGAAGCTGCCTCCTCTCTCCTCCTCTCCCTTCCACTTTGTGGCCTGAGCCCCATTCTGGGGACACAAGAGGGGTCCAATGTGGATCCTGACCTGGAGCTGGATGATTGTGATGCAAGGAGAGGAACCCGGGAAGACACGGGTCACGGAGCCACGAAGGGACAGAGAAACCCCAGAGGCCCCGCTGTGGGCCTGGAGTCAGAACCCTGACTCTGTCCTCACGGTCTAGCCTACGGGCTTCTCATGCAGGAAGTTAAGGTTGTGGCTAAGGTCCTACGACACATACAGGCCAGAGTCTTCCTGTGTGGCCCAGTCAACAGAGGCCCAGAGGGGCAGGGGCCACCGGAAGTCCGAGAAGCTGCTGGTAAAGACTGGGGGATGTCCAGGCCGGGGCTGCATCTGCCCTGCTCCCTGGTCTCTGACCTAAGGCCTCTATTGGTCTCTCTTGGACAGGCAGGGCTGCCACCCTTAACGTCTGAGCCCCGTGGGCACCTGCCTCAGGCTCTAGGCAGGGCACAGGGCTGGAAGGTCCAAGTTCACTACAGTGCTTCAGGGCAGAGATGGAGCGGGAGGGGGTGTGGCTCCAGTCAAAGTCAAGGAGAGCCTGACTCCCACTAAAGTAGCCCAGAAAACACGCTCCCTACCCCGGCCCAGATATAGCCGCCCCTTCACCCCAGCCTCACCCTGTGTCCCAGCAGCCCCATTTCAGCCCATAGAGTACATTCTGGACCCCAGTATCATTCCTATACTCTCCCTCCACTTTCTGCGGGAGCCACCCCAAACCTATAGATGGAGACAGACCCAGGGGGCTCTGCGCCTTTCAGGAGAGACAGTCTGGAGTCCCCTCTCCCCCCCGCCCCCCCACCCCCCCCCCCGGCTCGCTCACCTCCCACTCAAGCAGACCCAGGAAGGAAGCAGCTTGGGGAAGAGAAGCCTTTAATTGAGCACCTCATCTCTGCTCTGCCCTGCCCTGCGGGGCAGGGAGAGCTACACCTGCAGCATGCTGGGCCCAGAGGGTGAGGACGGCACCCCCAGGGGACAGCACGAGGATGTCAGAGGGCAGCAAGGAGGCTGAGGGACAGCAGGAGCACCAGGAGCAGGGCCCTGGATGGGGCTGACAGGGCCTGCCCGCTGACCCGTTCCCAGATCCAGTGCTGGTAGGCGGTGACCTGCAGGTAGATGGGCGGGGCCTCGCTCCTCCCGCAGCCTGGGCCCCAGGTCACCAGTCCCACCAGGTACCACGTAGAGTCCACAGAACAGGCCAAGGGCTCACCACTTATCTCCTGCAGGAGGGGTGTGTAACGAAAAGGGTCAGGGGGCCCGGGTGTGGCCAGAGGGAGATGTGCTCTGGCTCAAGGACAAAGCAAGGTACCCTCACGCCACTTCTCTTCCACAGCAGCTTCCCCCCTACAACCCAGGGGGTCAACTAGCCGAGAGATGCCCTCAAGGTCCAGACCCAGGAGACCTCCCTCAGAGCGGTTCACCTCCCCTCTCTCATGCCAGGCTCCCCACCCCCCTTCTTCTCACCACCCCTCCTCTCTCCTCTCCGATCTTCCTCTCCCATCTCTCCCTCCATCCTCCATTCCCCTCTAAGCGCCCCCCCATCTCTGCAGGCGCCCCTGGAGGTGAGGGAGCAAGGAGGAAGGTGCTCACGTAGCAGAAGTGTTCCCTGTCCAAGTCCTCCGCACAGACCATCTGGGAGTCCACGACCCGAACCAGAGAGGGCACTTTGGAGACCTTGTGGTATAACTTGTCACAATCCTTGTTGTTCAGGATGGTGACTCCCTTCTCCTGAATGCTCAGGAACTGGGGCCACACGCCTGCGGGGACAGGTCCCCCATCATTCAGGCTTGGTGCTCTCACCACTGCCAGCCCGGGGGCTGTCCTTTCTGCAGCTGGCCTGCTCTCCCAGCCTCTGAGGAGGCCCTCCTGGAGATTTCGGAGCAGGCTGCCCTCAGCCTGGCCTCGCCGAGCCTGGTCTCACCCCTACCAGACTCCAGTCCACGGGGTCTGTTCCCATCTCAGCAGCTTGGCTTCTGCCCTTCCAGCTCGAAGGCCTGCCCAGCCCCTCTCAGGTCCAAATCCCTCCTTTGCTAAGCCTCCCGCAAAGGCCTCTTTCACCCTAGCTAGCCCAGACCCCCATGCTCTGTGGGCCCTAGGCCCTCCCTCTTCCTCTCCCCTCCTCCCTCTCTCCAGTGTGACTCTGTCTCTAGCTGGAGCCCCTGGGCGGCCAGACTTCCAACCATCCTCAGCCATTCCCCAGACAGGCCACGGCAGGAAAGACAAACAGCCACCCCCAGCCCCAGGCTGGAACCACTGCAGACTATTTTTAGGCAAGATGGCTCCGTGAAGCCAAAGGGACGAGCACCTGCCTTGTGGAAAAGAGGGGCTCCCTGAATGGACTGGGCCTTCCTAAAACTCCTAAGAAAATAGCCCCTGGGTGGGCCTGGGAAGACACTCCTACACTTTGGGCCTTGCTCCATCCCCGAGGAAGATAAAGGCCTTGAGGTTCACTGGCTGCAGACTGCCCTTAGCCAACCAGCAGGGCCGCTGGGGGAACTTTCTACAGTCACCAAACCCTGCTCCTCCCACGGCAAATTTCTGCTTCAAATCCTGGGATTGCGTGCCCAAGGCAAGCTGTCACTCTGTGCCCCTCTGCCTTCAAGGAAGTCCCGTTTACAGGCCCTGGCCTGGGGCTGAGGGCTCATGGGCCATCTGGGACCCTTCAGGCCTGAGTGGTCATGACGCAATCGGGGCCAAGACCCCCCAGGGGGAAGGAGACCAGAGCCCGACAGGAAGAGGTCTCAGAAACAGCTGTCCACAGAGACCCCAGCCTTCCCCGCCCGCCCCCCGGTCCTCCCCCACACACCACCCCGCCCCCCACCGGGTCTGGAGAGGCTCTGACTCACCGTTAAACTTGGGGAGTCCCCAGCCCGTTACAGTGCAGAGGGAGCCGTCCTTCACCTCAAAGTCCAAGCCAGGCAGGCAGATGGGCCAGACGTACTTGTTGTATTTGAGCGGCCACGTGAGCTTGAGGAGGGCAATGTCGTGGGCCCGACCCACCCAGGACCAGTACCGATGCGGCCGGTACCGTTTGTTCAAGATGACCTGGTACACTGGGACGTCGGAGGTCGTCGGGGATTTCTGGTCTATTCTCGGGCTCCCCACCCGCACTGAATAGGTAACATTTTGCCTAGGGGACCACAGGGGAGTCTGTCTTCAGGTCCAGGCAAACCACCTGGGCCTCCACCCCGCTGTGGCACTCCGAGTCAGTCCAGGCAGGCCACCCACCTACTTCAAGCCCCCCGAGCCCCTCTCTCCCAACAGCTGTGAACAGGGCCCTCTGCACACCCGCTGTGTGGTCCTGCCCTTTACAACAACCCTTTACTTTACAGAAAGGAAAACCAATGCTCAGAGAAGCCCAGCAAACAGCTCAAGGCTACACAGCCAGGAAGTGGCAGAGCTGGGACGTGGACCTGGTTTTCTCTAGTTCCAAACTCTGGACTCTGTCTGGCACCCAGTGCAGGCCCTGGAAGTGGCAGAGGCCAGGCACAATCAATCAGCCACAGCCTCGCCCTCCAGCCTCCTTTCCCAGCATGCCTCTCAAGTCTCCAGGTCAGCCCTTAGGCTTAGAGCAGGCTTTTCCGAGGATGCTGCCCTCAGGCCCTCCCCTGGCCCTGGCACGCGGGCATGCTCTCTCTCTTGTCCCCACGCTGCCCGGACTCCCAGGCGAGCACCTGTCTTCTCATCTATCGGCCCCAGCAAGCCAAGAGGAGTGATGCGCCCCTGGGGCCCAGGCCAGGGTTTCAAAGGAGGGTCAAAGGCTATGGGTAGAAGAAAGGCAGGCATGAGTAAGTGAAGCAAATGGTGTGTGGGACAGAGGACTTAGGACCTCCTCTGTGTGGCAAGGAGGAAGGAGGTCTGGAGAGTGGCTTCCAAGCCCCCATCTCCTATCTGCAGCAGGACTGCTGGGGCCTGGGGAGCCAAGAGGAGGGGAGCAAGTGCCCAGCCCTCTGGGAAGGAATCAGAAATCGGCAGGACTCAGCCTGCACATGCTGAGAGCTGAAGAGAGAGGCTAGGGCTGGGACCAGAGCACGGCTGCCGCCGAAGACCCAGCTGGCAGCATGACCAGGCCCCGTGGCTCTGGACACCTTTCCACCCACCCGCCTAGGCCCCAACTCACAAGATCAGGCAGTGGGCCACAGTCAGCACCCAGCGGGAGGCAATGAGGGTGCCCGCACAGATGTGTGTGCCGTTGGCCTGCACGCTGACCATCCATGGCCACCGCCGAGCCATGGACTCTGGGTCCCTGAGGGTGGGGTCCTTCTCGTGGGAGGAGCCGCAGGCTGAGGAGGAAGGTGAGAGCTTGCTGGAGGATGGGACCCTGCAACACCTCCCCGAGGCGCCTTCCCTCCCCTCAGCACCATCTCCTGCCTCTCCAGCTGTGGCCTACACTCAGGCAGTGATTCTCTTTTCCCACAGGAATTTCTCTTTTTTGCACATGAAAATGGAGGTCTGCAGCTTCTAAAGGCCCTCAGCGCTGCCCAGGTACCCCTGTCCCTCCTCCCCAAGACCGGGGGCCCAGAGCATTCCCAGCCCCCATTCTGGTATGGAACTGGGCCTGGGACTCTGACCAGACCCTTCAGAAACTCATCCGTGTTTCTGTCTGCACCCACCCCCCATACATCGGCCCAGCCAGACCCCTCTCCCTCCTCTGGGAAACTTCCTGTGATTCAGTGAGACGACCCAAGAGAAAAACGGGCCATGGGCGTGAACAGACACATCCCAAGGATGACACCCCAGCAGCAAGCCAACCCTGAAGCTGCTGAGCCCCAGGAATCCTCCGGGAGCCCTGCAGACCTCAGCACAGGGAGGGTCCCCTCCACACCACCTGCCCGACGAAACTCAGTGGCTCTGGCCCCAAGGATGGGTGAGGGTTACTGGCCCAGATCGCTCACTCCCGGTTGCGGGGACTGTGCAGCCACTTTGGAAAACTTCTCAAACTGAAAATGCACATATCCAACCTCAGAGTAACCCACCCCCAGGGTTTTCCTGGTGGCGGGGGGGGGGGTGTCTGTGGATGGGGAGATCAGCGTGCATGGGCCAGCACCAGCACGTGTTGGCATAGAAGAGGGGGTGTCTGCACGCACTGGGCCCTGTGAGACAGGCTTCTGGTGGCAGCTCAGTTGTGGGCACTGAGTTCCAAGATAAGAAATCATTCTGGGGGTTTCTGTTCAACACGATGGAAAGCCACTGCTGGAGAGAAGGTCACCTGGGGGTGCTCCCGAGACACCCATGGGTTGGCTCCCTGAAAGCTGTGCCGGAGATCCTCTAAGTCCTTGGCTGGGAGCCTGGGTCAGCTCTCAGCTGGGGGACACAGCAGCGCACCCCAGGCTCCTCCGAGTCTCCTTCCTTCCCACCTCTCCAGGACGGGAGGCCTGGCCCCCAGTAGATGCTCGGTAAACCCCTGTAAAAGGAAGCTCTCTTCTCACTCCTCCCTGCACCTTCCTCTGCCGTCCCCATCGGTCCCCAGGGGTCACAAGTCCTTCAGATGGCTCCTGCACGCCCCTCCCCCAGGGAGTCCACAGTACTCACTGAGGAAGCTGTTGTACCCGGTAGAAACAGACATGGTCTGGGTCTGGAGGGGCATGGGCTGCGACAGGTCGGTGGGGGCCTGGCGGGGGAGGCGAGGCTCGTCTGAGGGACAGGTGGCACTGGAGGTGCAGGGGACGCCAGGGCCGGCGGAAGCAAGCTCAGGCAGTGTCCCTGGGGCTTGGCTTGCCAGGCAGCCTGAGGAAGGATGCAGTGAGGGTCAGGCTAGGCCGGGCGAGGTGGTCAGACGAGGCCCCGCGAGGGCCTGGGGGTGGGGGGCAGGACGGGGCTCACCCACGGGCCTCGGTGGCAGCAGCAGCAGCAGCAGCAGCAGCAGCAGCAGCAGCAGCAGCAGAGGAAGAGCAGACGCCCCGGGGCCCTGGGGGCCCTGCGTGCGGGCCGGCGTCCTGCACGGGAACTCCATTCGGGAGTGGCAGCGATGGCGCCGCGGTGCTCCTCTCGCGACGGCGCCCCCCATCGGCCGCCCGCGCGGGCGTCCGCCGTGTGGGCAAGGCCGGTGCCGCTGCCCCGTCCCGCTTGAGCGCCCTCCCGTGGCAGCCCGCGGTGGCGCTCTCCGCGTCCGCCCAGGGGCGCCTGGGAGGGACTCAGGACTTCTGCCCTCTGCCTCCTCCGCCCCTCGGTCTCGCTCACTGCACCTGGCCAGGCACTTCCTGGAGTCCCTCGGGCTAGTACAGCCAGTTCCCGTACCGCCTCGCTCCTGCAGCCCACCGCCCTTGGCTGGGTTTGTGCTTCTGTCCCCCCACCCCCGTGAAATGGGACCCAACCTCTGGGGCTGTCCTCCGGGATTTCCAAAGGGCCCACTTTCCCCGCACCTCCCAACCTGGTAACTGCAGTGGGGCTTTGCCCCAGGGCACTGAAATTGAGCGGCTGGAAAGGCTTTCAGGAACGATGTTTGAAGATGGCATAATTTTAAGCAGCACCCGCCCTCCCTCCATTCAGCAAATGCTCTTCTCTGACAGATCCATCTGCTTGGGAAAGACTGTGTAGGCGATGTTCCTGGTCACAAAGGAAGAGTGACGGTAGCCAGCAGACCCTGCTGGGAGCAGAAGGGTGCCTTCAGGTATGCTGGAATTGGGGGAACATTTTGATGGCTCCATGACATAGATAACACATCTAATAAGTAGTGTGGGGAAATCCTATGAGCAACTTTGGTTCAAAGCTGTAGGGAAATTCTAGGTGAACGTGAAATCAAGTTAGGACACTCTACCTTTTGCCGGGACCTGCTGTCTTGGGAGACACTCAGGTTAGGCATTGAGCTCTCCAGTCTCTGCGGAGACAACAAATCATACCCGCGACACTTGTGGCACCCGAAGGACAGGGGCTCTGAACCCAAGGCCCACCAGCTCTGAGCCGCCCCCAGGCAATCTCCACTCTGGAGGCAGGGCTCTGGCTCCCTTGGGCCAGCTGGCCTTGACCTCCAGAGTCTGATGGAGGTCGCTGAGGCAGCTTGGGAGCTCCAGGTGCCGTCATCTCCTACAATTCATCCCAGCAAGCACTCCTCCTCAGCCCCTTTTTCTCCCCCTCACCCCAACGTCCACCCCTGCCAGGGAGAGAAGAGGAACTGGTGGGGTTCTGGAGACCCTTAGGGGGAGCTGAATGCTTGGGAGAGGCTCCCAGATTCTGGAACCAAGTCCATAAATCTAAGTCGGGTCACGGAGTTTCTTGGGATGATGACATATTCTCTTTGGAAGGCCTGAGGGGACTGCTGGTCAGAGACCCAGAGGAGGGCCATGAGGACTGGGGCTGCTGGGGTGCTGAGATGATTAAATAGGGAGTGGGGCCCACAGAGTCCCACCTGGTATTTGGCAGAAGAGGAAACTGCTTCCCAGAGTTGGGGGGCGGGGAACATGGCAAGCAGTGGCACAGGGAAGCCCCTCAGGGAAGGCTCCCCTCGAGACGACAGACAAGCCTCTCGGGGCTGGGGAGGCCCTGAAGGGTTCTGGCCCCGGTCAAGAAGAAAGAGGACTTCCATGGCGTAAAACTCAAGAGCATCTTCATTGAACAACTTAAAAACCGGTGGCTCTGGGACCCTCCCCCACGGGCTCTCTGTCCTGTTGTCACGTGCTCCCTGGGTCTGCATGGCTCCTGAGGGCAGACGGCGGGAGGAAGAAGGGGCCTCTGCGAGTGCCTGCCCCAGAGACATCGCTCACAGGAGCCACAGGGAGCCCAAGGACACCAGCAGAATGTAGCCCATGAGGGCGACTGGGCTCAGGAAGGCAAGGCCAGCCCTGTTGATGAACATCATGTTGGTGATCTGCTGCTTGATCCAGTAGGTGAAGTGGGAGGTGCTGGTGTAGATGCTCAGGTGGCGGGGCTGGTTGCAGCTCGGACTCCAGCTCACCACGCCCATCTGAATCCAGGTGTTGTTCACCTGGCAGACCAGGGAGCTGCCAGAATTATCCTGTGGATCAGAGGAGGGGAGGCATGAGGGAGGCAGCACGAGGACCTCACTGCTGGCGCTGTGGAAATTCACACCTTCTTGAACCAGATCCTGAGTGCGAGCTGCCTTGGGCTTGTGTCATCCCTGCTAATGAGGCATGGCTAGGAACCTGCTCTGTGACACGGGAGCTCTGCCCTGGGGCCCCAGCTCAGGGTCACACTGGCCTTCCTCTTCATTCTCCTGCTAACTCTTGACCAGAACCTCCACCCAACCCCCGTCCCCACCTCTGTGCTCCCTTAAATTCTGGTGGGCCTCCAAGGTGCCACCCTTGACCACCTTACCTTCTTTCCCACACTCCTGCTTGCAGAGTGACTATTTGAAATGCAAACCAGACCCCTCTTTTTGTGTAAAGCAAGTGCAAGTATAAGAATAATGTTAATAACAACAAGCATCAAAAACTCATAGCTGTTATGTCTGCTGAAGGCAGGTTTATGATTTTTTTTAAACTTCCTCTATGCTCTTCTGTATTGTTGAAAAGTTTTATAAATCAGAAAAAGAGCTGTCTCTATACATTTATATACATATATATATTTAATGTAACTCAAACCAAGATTTAAAGAACATAATCTAATTAAGAATGCACGAGACACTTAAGGAAAAAAATAATAAAACTATACCTAAGAATTAAAAGAAGACTGACAACTAGGTAAAGATATATTTTGGTTCTTAGGTGAGACGGCTGAAAACAACATAAAAATACCAATGCTCAACGTTTGGCTTTCTGTAGTATGCAAGGCCAGATACCCTATCTGACCTTGCTGTAGATAATTAAATATGTGTGATGTTAAAAAGTTCTCATTTTAAATGCACAAATGAGCTGGAAAGAAAATAAAGACTCCTCAGAGTCCAAAACCCAAGGGAGGGCTAAAACCCAGAGAGGTCAGCAAAGCCCACGTGGCTTTGGTCCCAAGGCTATTTGCCAAACCCGGTGAAACTGAGCTTCTGTTTCCACAGTGTTCCTCACTGGTGCCGGAGATAAAAGACAAAACCCAGGGCCTGTGCAAGGAGGGGAGCCCAAGGCAAAACCTCCTGCAAAAAGCTACGCCTCCAAAAAAGGACCATGCCCTCTGAGGACAGAGAAACTAGGAACACCTGCCCCTCATGTGAACTTGCAATTCGAATTCACACTATGTGTGTGATTCCAAAAACCCAACCAAGGATGTCGTTCAAAGTTGTCCTGGGTTTGTCATGTGCCCAGAGAATTCTCACAGAGGACACCCTAAGGAACATTTCCTCACTCTTTAAAGCATCATCCCACACATGGGGAAGTGGAGATACCATGAGCAAGTGCCAGCAGCAGGGGAAAAAAAAAAAAAAAAAAAGAACATAATTAGAGACTTCTTGGCTTCAGACTCAGGGATTATCACCCAGGGAAGGTTCAGTGTTTCTGGAAATGCAGCACTATTTCATAGGCTTGGGAGGGAGGCTATGGGTGTTGGCTGTGTTATTCTCTATTCTCTATATATGTTCTATAAATATGCTTTTGTCTCTTCAATAGAAAGCAAAAACTATTTTAAAAGATAACAGTGTCAATCCCCCTTACGTCACTCTCTAAAGTTCAAACAATTCCAAATAAAATGTCAGATGGATTTTTTTTTCAAGACCTTGATGATCTGATTCTAAAATTGATATTGAAGGGTATGAGTCCATGGATTCTATGACAGGTCTGAGAAAGAAGAGCAAATGGGAGAGTCAAGCTGGGGGAAGATTTGACCCACCAGAGTTTGATGTATTTCAAATCTGTAATTACAGAAACTGTGGTACTGGCATAAAAATAGGAAAACAGATAAGTCATGCCTTGGAGAGCCAACCCAATGCCAGCACGTGAGAAGATGTAGCACGTGCTCCAGAAAGCTCTGGGAAAGGAGATCTCTGTGGTAATGGTGGGAAACTGATGAAGAAAAATGAAGTTGGATCCTACCTAACAAAACTCTAGAGGAATTAAAACTCTCAACGTGTAAAGTTAAAGGCTCATTAAAAACATGCAGGCCATGACTTTACCTTGAGATGAAGCCCATGTTTTAAAATAAGATTCAAAGCCCACAAGTTGCAGAGGGAAGATGTGTTGGGCTTAATTACATCAAAATTATGACTATTCAGTGAAGGACACTGAATCTCATTGAAGATAGATGATGAATTAAGATAGGACATTTACTCTGTTTAAAACCAGGGGGAGGTCAATATTTAATATATTGTAAGGACACCCTGAATGTTAACAAGCAGAGAAAGAGAATTGAGAGACTGGGGAAGCTGGCAGAGTAGGAAAATCCTGGGCTCACCTCATCCCATGGATAAACCTAGATATCACCCACATCAGAGTAAATAAACCAGAAAATGACCCAAAGACTGGCAGAGCAAACTCACCACAACTAAATATAGAGAAGAAGCCACATTGAAGAGGGTAGGAAGGGTCAGACCCAGTCAGGAGCCAAACTGACCTATAAGACTATCTGTGGGAGGGTGGCATGCCACAGGTGGAGGGAGGAGAGAGGAGTCCCTCAGGCACAGGGGATCCCCTCTGCGAAGACAAATGTCCGTATCATTTGGCTTTGAAAACCAGAGGGACCTAACTTTGTGAGTTCTTACAATCCATGGAGCTTAACACTTGGAACTTTAAAAAATCAATGGCTCAGCTCTGAGAGAGACAGAGGGTCATAGGAAGTTGAGCCCCTGCTCTTAAAGAGATAGCATAACAAACAGCCATGGAAATACAACATAGAAGCAGCAGTTTAAAAAACACCTAGCATATATGAGAAGGAGATTCATTTACTAATCTCAGAGTGTGTGCTGGAGGGGCAGAGATTTTGGGGAGACTTCTCCAGGAAGGAAAGACCCAGCAGGTGCATTTCTCACCCCCACTCTTCCAGCCTAGATACATGGACACTGGCAGGAATCAGCCCCTTGAGAACCCTCTCCATCTAGTTTGCTAAGAGTGCATCCTCATCCCACTCCTCCATCCAAGCTGGCCTCAGTGGAGTTTTCCCAGGCAGCTGCAGATCATCTTCTTGCAGTGGGTCAGCACAG